GACGCCTTGGTAACCAATGTGCAAATAATATGTTATTGTTGAAACAAATATATGTGCAAGAACGAGAAATAATCACGTGCCGCCCTTATCGTTCAAGTGAACTGGAAATCCCCCATGCAGTTGGCATATTGATAAGACAGATCTCCGATGAATTATCGCCCCTAGTTTAGAAAATCAAGTATACGCCTGGTGGGGCGACAATCCCATTTCATCTTGGTTTTCGCTCTTATCTCGGGCCCGGTGTAAAAAACACAACCATAAAGCTCTCCCCTCACAACAGCCTCATAAATAAAATGCACATAAATTACAAACTATATAAATAAAGAAAAAACAAAGCATATATAAATAGATATAAATTAATTGTAAACAGCCAGTTTTTGTTTACTCAAAGATGTTAGAAAAAACAAAAAAAAAAACAAACGAATTAAATAGTATTAATTTCCAGTTGTGAAAAATTCAATATAGTCGGTTGTTATTTCAGGGTAGATCGCAGTTCCCATACAAATTATTTTTGTATAATTAAACACTTTAGGTCTTTAAAGCAAATATTACAAAAAATGCGTTAAATTTAATTGATAAAACTAATTAATGAATCATTAAGGAACTAAAATTGCTTTCTATCAGGGATCTTAAATGAGAGTTACTTGAGACTTTTATTTAAGGAAGACTATTGTGATGTGTATATTTTAGCGAAGAAACTTTACAAGTCAGCGAATTTTAAAATGAAGTAAAACTTATTTTGGTTTAATCTACAAAGTAAATAAAACTCTGGGAAATTTCTACAACAAACCCATAAAGATATCAGTAGGCTCTAAAGAGAAGGGTCTTAAGTAACTCAACTTTATTATCCCCGGTTTTTAATATAATTCATTTAAATTTATTTAATCAAATCATTTATATTTGAATAATTACAAAAATTTGGCAGCCGTTAAATTGAATTTTCCCCATCATAACCACCCTCAACAAAAAAAGACCTCGATGGCTGGAAAATCAAAGATTGCAACTGAAATTCAGCCCGAATGTCACACTCAAATCATTGAATAAATATGCTGGCAACAACAATATTGAGACAGTAATAAATAAACCAATTGATATCAATAAAAAACAAAATAGAGGGCGATCGAAGAGGAGAAAGAGCTATATAGGTTCACACAAACGAATATCGAAATGCGCGCCGTATACGACTTGTTGCTGAGCAACGCCTTTGATCCCAGGTACGAGTAGTATTCGCCATATGTAGGTATAATACCCCTTATGCACATATATAGACCACAATCCCAATCACAATCACTGGCGAGTGAACACATATAGACATTGGAATATGATACATCTTGCCGGGTAATTGAATGCTAACCAATGTTAATTGGACTCCAAACGAGAAATACTTAGCAAATATTTGGTTTCCACCGTCTGCGCCTCGGTGACGCAGTTGATTTTATTGGCAAGGGAGGGGCCTTTATCGAATGTTTATTATATTATTAAACCTATGGGATGTACGACAAAATATTTGCCAAACAAATCGAAAACAGCAATTAGGCAAGAAAGTGTTCTTCCATTGTGAACAAAGTTTGTATATCCTACTGCAATACTACCGTGTCATAACGTTACAATACAAAGTAAAGCAATGATCTAGTTTAATGCAGTATAATTTCCATTTCCTGACATTCAATCGATTAAAAATAAAAGTGGCACTTACACTTTTTAAGTTCTGGTAATCCAACCAGATGGGTTCTTATAAAAATTATGAAACAAACCCAGAGCTAAGTGTGTGTTTAAATATAATAGCCCATTGTCTAGTTGGCTTTGCGATTACAGTTAGCGATCGGAACAGCTTCTCATGCCTATTCATTGAGTATAAACAATTGAGACCCACCAATTACCCGCTATTCCCATCGAATAGACATTAACCTCTAGGCTCTACATGGAGAAAAACAAACAAACAAAAAACAGCTGTTCTCAGATTAATCTTAATTAAATGAATTAGAATTAATAAGAAATATAATGTATATACCTGTAGATTCTAAATAACATACATTAGCAATGTAAATATGTCCTAAACTTTTTGAACAGTAATTAAGAACTTATAAATTATCGAATTTATCGACATAAAATATCGATAATTTGAAGCCATTTCGATTATTTTCTCCCCATGTAACCCTGGACTTTTGTCTTGTCTTCCAGAATGGTGCTGCAGAATCACAATACAGTGGTGGCCCGCTCCACACTGACGCCGAACAGCAGCAGCCAGAACTTTGGCTCCCATCCGCTGGGAAACCACGGCGGATTGGCCAATGGACCCGGATCCGGACGTAGTCCTCTGAACGCCGGACCCAGCACCCAGCGTCCCATTGTGGACCTCCTGGTGGCCATGGTGGCCGTGCCGGTGCTGATTCTTTGCGCCCTCCAGCTGGAGAAGAATCTACGAGACAATAGTGTAGAATCGCGCTGGCTGGTCTTCGCCCTGGGCATCGGGATGCTGGTGATCAGCGTGATCATCTGCGGATATGTCACGCACCGCATGGGCGTCTGCATCTGGGCGGGTCCCATCGACGAGGCGGGAAATCGGGCCACCAATGGAGCCATGCCGCATGTAAGTCGAAGATAGAAAGAAATATTAGGGATTTTAGGGATTTAATAATCCCATGAAAACACAAAAAATCATTCATTCCCATTGTGGGTTATACGTTACAACAAAATTTGATATTTACAATGTTTTTTTTATTTTTTTATGTTCATTTGCTTTGCAAGAAAAAAATTTTTTTTTTAGTTACACAGAGAAAATTTGAGTTAAAAATGTTCTTAAAAGTAAAACGACACTTTTGAAGTTCAAGTTGGCGGTATTTACATTGTAGATCTCAACATATAAACTATTAGTCCAATCAGTAGTGCATACTTATCAAAAAGATGTTACATAAGCCCAATTTAATATATCTAATATTGAGAACATTGATACCAAAATGTTTTTAAGGTTTTTAAGAACGAATGTTCTTAATTGAAGAACAAAGTACTTACAAATTTCTATCTGTACAAAAAAAGTTCCTTTAATAGCATACACTTAATTTATTTTGGTACCTGAAACAATATGTATGTCTATAATATAATTTTTATATAATCTTAACCCAGAAATAAACAACATTATGTGTTTATTGAGATATTAAAATATATTATATATATACTCCCAGAAAAATATCATACTCACCTTTATATTACTTCTTAAACGTTGGTCAGTTCTTACAGGCAATTGTTTTATTAAAGAGAGCATTTATGATATACGTATGACTAACGAGAATTTCCTTCAAGAACCCCCAACTAATCCTGAATTGTTTTCCAGATCAACTCCCAGAACGATGTGCTGCGCATAGTGGACTCCCTGCCGCCGAGTTACGATAGTGTGGTCAAGTTCGAGTTGCCTCCGCCTGCCTACGACTGCCTGGTCATAGACATGGATCAGTCCAAGGAGCTGGAGCCGCCGCAGACCTCCGCCAAGCCAGGAGCTGGGGGATCCACCTCCACCACGGGAGCCATCCTTCACATCTAGGCTGGAGTATTCGAAGGAGCAAAAGGAGGAGGAGAGAGAATTAAGAGATTTTTTCCCAACTGGCAGCGCAACGGATTTCTGTACTTGACCCACTTTAAGACCACAGGCAAACAAATCTATACCTACGATTTCGATACGCGGTATTCTGTGGCAGCTCGAGTCTTTTAAAAATATTACACAAGGCGAAAATTTTAGAGCCCACAGTCGAATACCGACATATATCCGTATATCTATTGTAAAAGTTTGGCTAAATGGTAGCTTGGCAAAGCATTATGGCATTGTATTTACTTTGATTTTAAGCAGCTAGTATTTTAACTCGTAGAGCCCATCAATAGCAATTCTCTCGCATTGTACATAGAGTTCTTTGAAACACACAGCATCTAGTCCAAAGTTGTATATATAGCCGAAAAAGAGATAACTGAACCACATGATGCGCGCATAGAAACATTTTAAGTAATATTATGATATACTTACTAAATGCCAACGCAGGGCGGGAATCAAACTACAAAACTACAGGGTAGCACTTAGTCTTAGTTTTAGCCTAAAGCCTGTATATAATTATGTATATTACGATTACAAATATTTTTATAGCCATATCGATGGCAATGTCAATTGCCAACAAAAATGCCGGAAAACGTTCAGAGTTGCTTTCCAGAAATAAAGAATTCCTATTAAGTTTATTGAAAACCAACGAAATTGTCTTGCATCTTTCAGGGGGATGGGAAAATGGATGCCCAGAAAAACAATCTACTGCATACTTTATGGTTTATTTGGTAATTCTGTATTGTAGACATTCAAGCCATTTGATAACCATGAGTCTTAGTTTTAGCCATTCAATATAAAGGTTAGTTTTGGGGAATACTTAAAGTTTGTTTTGTTCTCAAATAAATGTCAGAAAAAGTCTCAAGACTCCATAAATCACTAGATTACTAAAGAGTGGAATCATTATGTTTCCAGTATATATCCAATGCCATACATATCCAAATATAGGGATATTTTAGATAGTTCCTCCACCGTTCATTTATATTGTTTATGAACCTTATCAAGCCTTTATCAGCATCCTTTTTAGTCATTTAGACTGTGCAATTTTTGAAATTTTCCTGTATAATCTACTGGACATGTATGTATATAAGAGTATATTTAATTCTATATTGTATATTGAGTACAAATAGTACACTTATAAAATTCAAAATATCTGTTTAGGTCCTTAGGAGACATTAATGTGTTTCATGTAAAATCGTTCAGACGAGTACATCTATGTTCAAAATATTATAATAATAACAAAATACATAACCAATATATACTTGGTATAATAGTAAAAATATTATTGTATTATATTAAATTATAATAGAATTTTGAACACAGTTTTAACGCAGTATGCATCATTAAAAAAAAAAAATACAAATCTTAGCTACAAGGACGATGTTGGTGAAACCTATGATAAAAAGTTTCGAAAAAATGCTTGGTTTTCTTTTTGTTTTTATTGTATAAGGTAGTAGTTAGGTAGTAGCATATAAATTTATATAACGTACGATATACATAGTATGTAAAAAAGACATAGCTAGCTTAAATACTTTCACTTGATGCGAATCGATCTGCTTCACCGCTCTCTAAACCAGACCTTCCCAATGATTTTAGATCGCTGACTCTCTTGTTCCATGGAAAATGCTCTCTCTCTTGCTTTCTTTTTGGGAAGGTCCACTCTAATCTCAATGCAGTGTGGTGTGTGTGTGTGTGTGTGGGGGGTGTGTGTGTGTGGTGTGTGTGAAGTGTGGGTGACTGTGTGAGTGCTTGGATGGATGAGTGACACCCTAGAAACCTGCAACGCCGCCGCGTTTGCGATAGTCGGCATTCGCATAGATGGCTGTGGCATTCCTTGAAATGGCCGTGACCACCGATCCCTTGATCCTGGAAATGGGCTTCAATGTGTGGCCTCGCTTGGCCAGCAGTTGCAGCACCATTTCCGGGAAGCCACCCTCCTCGTACTCAAGGACATCGGGCAGCAGCTGATGATAGAACCGCGGCGCATCGATGGCCCGGCGCAGATCCTCGCCGAACCACAGCACATTGGCGACCACCTCCACCACTGCCGGAATGATCCTGCTGCCCCCGGCTGCTCCGATGACCAATCGCATATCGCCCGCCTTGTCCGCCAGCAGAACCGGCGACTGGGAGGACATGGCCCGCTTGTGGGGCTCGATTTTGTTGGCTGCCGACTGGGGCAATCCGAAGAAGTTGTTCTCCACCGAAAAGTCGTTCATGCCGTTGTTCAGCACAATGCCCGTGCGAGGTCCAATTAGTCCGGAGCCGAAACTAAAAAGGATGAAGACAGGGGTATTTTAAAATAGTTAAAATAGTAGGTTTATCGATAGTGAGGGAATTTTAGAATAGACACAGAGATAAATATGCAAGTATTGAACTGAGAACATTTGTTCTTAAAAAGCAGTGTTCTCAATATTAGAAGGAAATGGTAAGAAGAAAAAATCTTAAATTGAGTTTATTTAACAACTTTTTGATAAGTATACACTACTGACTGCTACCAATATAAATTAAGTGTATGCCATTAAGGGAACTTTTTAACACATTGAGAAATATTCAAGTACACTGCTCTTGAATTGAGAACATTCGCTCTTAAAACCTGTGTAAGTACATGTTGGCATCAACACAAACCAACTTCTATATATGACAGTAAGCTCTTCTTTAAGAATATATCAAGATTAACAAAAGGTTGATATAACGGAAATTCATCTTCTTCATATGTAAATAACTAAGTTAAAATATCTTCTATAGTTCTATTAACTCACTACTGATTAATGGAGCTGGTCACGGACACGGCATCTCCGTTGGGGGCCAAAACAACCAGGTTGGAGGTGCCATAGGGATCATCTTTGGGGGCAGAGTTGGCACCGTACGCCTGGGCATCGGGCAGGACATGGGAGTCGTTGATCTTGGCCCGGTTCTGTTCCCCAAAATCCACGCTATTGAGCCGGCTAACCAGTTCTCGGGTGTCGATGAAATGCACATCACCCAATTCCGGGCGCTGGGCAAAGGCGAACTTCAAGGCCTCGGCAAATCTGTGGATAGTACGGGCCCTCAACTCCTCGGTGGCCAGATCCTGTTTGGTGAAATTATAGCCCTGCAGGATGCTCAGAGCGTGGGCCACCACCGAACCGGAACTGACCGGGGGAATCACATACAGTGTGTCCTCGCCCAGATGCATGGTGATTGAGTTGATCACATCGGCCTCATAGGATTCCAGATCATCGGGTATAATAATACTGCCCACGTCCTTCAGATCCTCGGCCAGCAACTTGGCCAACGTTCCATTGTACAGGTCCATGGGTCCGTTTTCGGCGAGGAGTTTGTATGTCTTGCAGAGATTCTTTGGCGGCTTCACCACCGTTCCGGCGGTATGGTGACTTCCAGTCTGGGCATTCCGATAAGTCCTAAGGAAGAATATTAGAGGTTATCAAGGGTATCATAGGAATTGGAGGTTTGGAATCACTTCAAGACATTTTGGGAGTTACTTTTAATGAAATCATATCAAATTATAGTAAAAAATACTAAAAAACAACATTATATTTCAGTGGAACTCCCGACTTTAGAGATTTTTATTTAGTTACTCACTCGTACTGCTCGTGCTCCTTGATTAACGGCCATTGGAATTTCAGAGCCCGTTCCATGTGCTGCGACACATGGTAGCCCTTCTCGCAGAGCTCCAGCGACGGAGCCACCAGTTCCGCCCACGGAAGTCGTCCGAACTTCTGATGGGCCACATGGTAGCCCATCGCCTCACCGGGCACAGCGATGCTCAGGGGTCCTTTGTTGGACGACTCCGGATCTTTAGCGAACATCTCCTCGGTGGCCTCATAGGGAGCCACTTCGCGGGCATCGATGGCGGTGGCGAGCTGAGCCTTCCGGTCGTAAACGTTCATCAGGTGGCCGCCACCGAGACCCATGCTCTGCAGGGTCAGCAGTCCGTTGCAGAGGAGGGCGGCGATCGCAGCGTCCACTGCGCTGCCGTTCTTCTGCAGGATTCCGCTATGGGGAAGAGGTCAAAGGTCAATATTAGGTATTGAAATATGATAGTTAATCGCTTTAATCCCTTTACAAGAGATAAAAACCAACTTCAAAGTAGCGTATCTCTTAAGATTCAGGATTCTCTAATCATTATAAGATGCACACAAAAAAATCGATTGGTAAAATTTACCAATATAATAGTAAAGCGGTCCCCAACCATCGTATTGTCAATTTTACCCATCGAATAGTTACTCTAACGTAATACGTAAACGTACAGGTTACTATACAAAATAGTTATGTAACTATAAAAGGGTAGAATGGGCCCAACCCATGGATGGTAGTTTAATAACTATTTTTATAGTTAACCAACCTAGAAAACATAATTCGTGAATTTTTTTATAGTAAATATATACCTATAAAATTGATTAAATTCATAGATACTTCAAGTTGGCATGGTAATTTATAAATAGAAAACAAAGCAAAAACATGTATGTACATATGCAACCATTTTTAATAGTAAAGTATATTTTTTTAATAGTTACTAAACTATCTGCATTGGTTAATTTTACCAACGAAATTTTTTTTGTGTGTATTTCTTTTTTTTCGCTAGGTTGCTGGAAAGGTGACCCAAAAATGAAATTTTAAAGCCCATTACTTGTTTCTTGTTAATTCTTTAATAACACTGTGCAACACGAAAAATGTAACTGCAGTTGGATTTTCAAAATCTGAAAGTACTTATCGAACCAAGCTTTTTATAAATATTTTTAAAAATTTGAGGATTAGTAAATTATAAAAACCGATTAGAAAGTAGCGTATATCCTAAGTTTCAAAATTCTCAACTTATTTGCAACACGGAAAACTGCAGTTGGGATTTTAAAGTCTGAAAGTACTTATTGAAACAAGCATTTTATAAATATGGTTTAAAATATCAGGATAAGTTAGTTGTTTGGTAATTTTAATAATGTTACCCCATTCAAATCTTCGAAAAAATGTATAAAATATTACTATTAGTTATTTTGGCGCCAATGCTTAAACTAAAGAAGCTAAGGGGCTGTTCTTATACCCGTATTATCTAAAAACATAGGGAGTGGGGGTCCCAGCTTAATGATAACTCCTGTGCTGGATTTCCTTTCAATTTCTTTTCTTTTTTTATGAACTCTAACCCCCAACTCGAAATTTAAGAACAACATGGCTAAAAGTCAGATCTTTGAATATATAACCTATAAATCTATAAGTATATAGTATATATAATAATAATATAATTCACTCACCTTCCGATCTTGCTGCACTCGAGGTTGTCGGAGCTCACTGCTCCGTGCTGGTAGACCCCGAGTACCGACTCGAAGTGCTCGCTGGTGTCGATCCGGATCTGATCCGCCAGCCAGGCGGGCGGTTCCGCTGTGGTTGCCGACGTGGAGGCGGCCACATTGGGCAGGGCGTCCTCCGCCGGAGTGCTGGCCAGATTCAGGTTGCCAACGCTTTCCGTAGCCGCATCCGTATCCGCATCCGCATCCGCTGCCTCATGTTGCTGCTCATCTGTTAAATGAAATGTTTTAAGTGTGGGGCTGGGATTGCTTTCTGTTCTGCTGGTTGTTGTTGTTGTTGTTGGTAGTGGTGTTGTACTTGTTGTTGTTGTTGTTGTGGTGGTGGAGGTGGTGGTGCTAAATTTGGTTGCAGTTGCCGGTGGTGCTATTGTTGTTGCTGTTGCCGGTGGTGCTGAGCTATTTGCAATATCTGTTGCAAGTGCAATTTCTGTTGCTGTTGCTGCTGTTGTTATTGTTGCCTCTGTGGTTGTTGTTGTTGTTGTCGTCGTTGTTGTTGTGCTGTTTCTATTCGATTTTGGCCAGTCTTCGTTGTTGTTGTTGTTTAGTGAGTTAGGGTGTAAAGTTTTTGGTTGGGGTTTTGTTCATGTGAATACTTTTTGGTGCCACAATAGAAGAAATTATTTTGAACTAGATTAAATGCCAGGTGCTTGGTTAAGATGGATCGAAAAAGCATGCAGAAAAGAAGCAATTTCATTTCTTGTATTTTTTTTTTCAAGGGGTATGAAACTAAATTCGGTCTTAAGGTCCAAAAGTCTGTCTGTTGGTATACTTATAATAGATCTACACATAGTTTTGTATTAGTTTGCAGTGGGTGAGTGAATTGTTAGCTGGATGTGGTTGGCCAAATTCCTTGCCCGATTTCCCATACTCACCACTGAAACACAGGCTGATGATCACATAGCTGATCAGGGCAATGCCTATAAAGCAGATCAGCACGATGGTTAGCTTTTTCATCCAGGCCAAGACCTTGACACGCCTGCGAGGATTAAATTCAAAATTACAGCCGTTAATATAATGATGAAATTAATAACAAATGTATTGTTTTCCCGGCACTGACATTAAAAAAAAAGAGCTATGCTTAAAAAAAATTTAAGACTTACATACGAGGGCTGCTTATATCCCATATAAATGTGCATAAAAGTATGCTTTGAAATCAAAAATACCTATACAGTGGTGCCACACAAATCACTAAGGTTACAAAAGCACTTTAAAATGCCATTTAGGTGTCTAAAAGTATGCAACAATATATTTTAAGCTCTGAAGTACAATGAAGACTTGGGTTACAAAAAAACTTTCAAATGTAATTTGTTTAGGTACCTAAAAGTATGCAACAATATATTTTAAACTCTAAAGTACAATGTATTCATTCAGAAAGACGACTATCCTTTATTTACTGCATACTTTCAGACACCTTTAATATATTAATTAATTTGTGTGGCACTCCCCATGAACGCATTTTAAAATACGACCTAAATTTTTCAAGGCATACTTCTAGACACCTTTTTTAATTTTAAGGCCATAGTAATGTTAACTTGTGACATATCATTCGTACTATCTTTAAAAAAGGGATACAAATTCAGGACGCTCCAACTTCAAGCTATTGAAGCTGCTTGCTACCACTTTAAAGAGTTTTATTAAATGCGATTTCCCAGTAAACAGACCACATAATCCCCCAAGGACACTTGTAGCCCTAAAGCCATTGTTAATGCCCCTTTTTATGCTCACATCTGTTCGCGACGCGCCTCCTCGGCGGCAGCAGTGTCCTGCATGAGTTCGCCCCCATTCTTCTCCTCGTCGGAGTCCAATCCTCCGGCGGACTTCAGCGGAATCTTGTTCATGGCATCCTCGTTGCTGTGGTGCACCATTTTGTGGGCATCCGCTGCTGCACCTGCTCCTGCTCCTGTTGCCGCTGGTCCCGGTGAGATGGTGATGGAGCTGGTTGGAAAATAAAAAAACGAAAACCAGGTGTCAACAGAAGCAACAGTTAATATCCTCGGCGCTTGCAAATGTGCAACAGTTTTCGCCAGCAGGCTTCAGCACCAACTGAAACAGCAAATGGAAGCGCTCAAAGCACCGACAATATCAAGCGATTCTCAGCCATCGACAAACGGCAACGACAACTACAGTGAGGCCTCTATAAGTCAACCTCTATAGGTTATACTTTAAGGAAGCCTACTACTTAGAAAACCATGGATTGGTATGAAATATCTTTAAAAAATATATAAATGTAGTATTATTTATATTCCCTTGCAGGGGGTATTATATCTTAAGTCAGGAGACATTTCCGACCCCATAAAGTATATTATTAACAACCTTACTAGTATTTTAGTTTAGCTATCGGGATAAAAGTTTTCAAAAGTCTTCTTTCTATTGCATTTGTACTAATGTCAGAATGGACCAGATAGGACCACAATATCATCTTATAGATCTCTTAGAAAATATCGGTGAGAAAATATTGAAAACAAAGTTCTATCTTCAATATTTTTAATCATATTAAAAATACTATGATGTTACCAAAATAATTTTATAAAAATTGGAAGTCTATAGTATATTATATAGCTGCCACAGCAATGGTCGAAAAATGACTAAAATTCATAGGGAATGCTTTTAAGAAACGTCCTTAAGTATAGATATGTTATTCATTTTTAAAAGATATACCAGAATAATATCCAATCCTTACTAAGATCCCATGTTTGTATTAGGGAAGCTCCACTGTTTCAACTCAAACAACAACTATATCGCTGTCGTCATCGCCAACTTTGATGGCAGGATGTGGATTGTGTGCTCGGCTACCCGACACCACCCACCCAAACACCACCCACCGCCCACCGCCCCCCTGTTCCTTGAGTGGGCGTGTCCCGTTTAAAAATGGGTCAGACAAGCGTCGACAGCGACGCCGGCAGCGGCGGAGGCAGAGGCAGTGGGAAATGCATTTTCCTCAATCGAGCGAGCGGATTTCTTTTGTTGTTCCGACCATAACCATAATTGAATGTTGTGATTGTGAGCTCGCGTGGCCCGCGGGATTTAGTGGGCGGAAATGGGTGGTGTTGGCCAGTGGTGGTTTAAAGTCATTGCTCGCGGGAATTGGGTTAATTGCTGGGGGCAAAAAAAGAAAATATAAAAAAAAATAATGCAAAAAACACATCGGACAGAGCAGCACCTTTTGCACCCCGGTCCTGACCTGGGCTACATTGGTAATTGTTGACGTCGCCACTGGCACTCACAAAAAACCCCCCTTCAACCCACCCATGTAACCCCCTCACAGTGATGACGACACTTGCTTAAGAGGGAAAGCCCCTCGTAAAACAGGGTGCCCCAAAAAGAGACACTCAAATGCAGGCACTAAAGTTAGTCTAGCTTGTTTACAACTCCAACTTTTTAGGGGCTACCATTTTATTACAGGGCATTCGCTAAATGCTACCCATAAACATGATACAGAATTATACTTAAAGATCTCATAAACTATAATTGGTTATTAAAATAACAAGATATTATAAAGATTATTAATGCACATATATTATAAAAACAGAGGCGAAGAATAAACGTTTCATAAAAATATCATCCCTATATGCTAAGTTTAAGACCCTTTATTGGCTGGCCACTTTTTTATGTTCCCCATTTTTTTTTTCTGGTTAATAATACTTTGCTGTTGCCGATTTTGCGCGAACTGGGCAGGCAGGCATTCGCGCTATTTTTGGGTCAACTGCATTTAATTTCGTTTCGTTTTCGTTAAATGGTCGGTGGGCTGAAAGAACAAACCACAATTATGAGGCATTCGGAATGCAATTGGGGTTTACGATCCACTTGTTCCTCGCTGCGCCCACGATAAATGGCACATGGAACCAAAATAGAGTTGCGATGCCATGACGATAGCTCATTAAGTGCCCACAAATATTTCCCTTTTCTCCATCACTCTTATTGATTGCTATTTCGCAGAAAGCGAACGATAGGTGGCGTGTTGGTAGTGGCCATTAGGCAAGGATAATTACTCTATTGCAGCTAAGTTTTGTAAACGTTTCGGGGAAAATATCACAATATTCATTACATGCTTTTAACAAAGCATTTTTTTAAACAATTTGAACAGGAATCAAGTTTGTTGGCCCTTTTAAAATTAAGATTATGATTTTTATATACATTTAGCAATTGTAAAATATTATTAACTATTATTATTTTGAAATCTTTTGCTTTAATATAATATTTAAAAATTTCTTTGATAAAATATTCCCCTTTCTTCAACTAAATTTCTATCAACTTCTTTTCTAACCAAATATTTGTTGGTTTTGGCGCATGCGCAGCGCCCTCAAGCCAAATTATCAGCCATCCAACTAATTAAAAAACGCAATCGGAATTGGCTGTCATTATTACTACGTGTCAAGACTAATAGATGAGCAATGATTTCGAAAAGCCGAATTGAAGTTGAACTATCTATGGCCATTGGACAGTTTCGCCGGGTGGGCAAATACTAATATGGGAAGTGACCGACAAGCTATATCGATAAAAAGCACACCCATGCCCAAATACATGGGTACATATGTTTTAAATATCTAAGTATGCATTATATTAATTACCCATTGTATTTACAAGGCAAAAGAATGCCAAGATAATTGCCTGGCTTTCATCTTCGGCCGACTTCTTATCGAATAATGAAAATTCCGAGGGATCAGAGAGAATAAATGAGAAAATATAGAGCGAAGAGGAAAACATTAAGATATGGATCAGCTAGTACAGAGTACAAATTTTGCGTATATATTATGAAATATTTATAGTTTTACAAAACAGAAAAAAAGGAAAGAACAACGGAAAAATCATCACTTTCCCAAAAACCAAAGTCTTGAAATATTTAATCCCCAGGCAATACCTTTTGGATCCGTATTTCTTGATGAAACACATGCCATTTCGAGTACATTTCCACAAAAAATACTTGATAATTGTTTGGTTTTCAAGGGGACAAGGGCACATGGCCATAGATCATGGTTGATCGGGCATATCCAAGCCCAATCAAATGGCGACACCAATCCAATTTGCATTTCGGATGCCAAGCGAATCGTTTCGGTGGTTAATTAAATCAACAACTTGACCAAACAAATACAATTAAAATGCACGAAGACCGTCGCAAATAAATCAAAACTACTAGGGACGTGGGCCAATATATACGTACATATTATACTAGTGAGCATAATTTAAAGCCGGGTGAAAAACACACTAAAAATCTTCAAAATTACAGTGCATAAAAAATTGTTATGTCCAAAGGCTGACCGAAAAGATGCAACATTTTCTTTTTTGCACCCGCAATGACCCCATTCCCAGCTTTACGAGGAGTCGGTCGGCTCGGAACTATTTTTACACTCTTTTGTTCACATCTTCTCAAAAAACATCTTTCGAAATCGAATGGGTAGTGAAAATATGAAAATATTTGAATGATTGTTTGCTTGGACGCTCCAAAGCAAATATTAAAAAATCTAGAACGACCATAAATTTACGAGATCGTAAAGAGACTAACCATATTAAATCCAATTAAAAAAACTTGTTTATAGGCTAGCTTAGAAGATTTTCCCAGCTGCTCTGATACATTTCAAAGCAAATAAGAAAATAACTTTGATAAAGCTCTAACAAAAAAATTCCAATATGAGATACAAATTGCAAATCGGTTAATACATGTTGAAGTCCGCAAGATGGACCATACTTTGTTTTTAATTTTTAATAAAACATCTACATATTTTAAGATTTCAATATTTTTAACCCTAAAAACAAATTATAGTTTATACACAAAGGGAAATATTGAAGTACATTGTTCTTGAATTGAGAACATTCGTTCTTAAAAACCGTGTTTGGTATCAAAGTTCTCAATACTAGAATGAAATGGTGAGAAGATAAAAGTTGAATTGAGTTTATTTAACAACTTCTTGATAAATATATTCTTGATATATAGGAGTAATAATTTAGTTTTTGAGACATATAATGTAAATACCGTTAATTCAACTTGATTCAAGAACAATAAAAACCTTTTTGACTTTAAAAAAGTCGTTATATTTTTAAGAACAATTTGAACTCAGATGAGAACGTCAAAAATCTCTCTATGCAGGGATAAATAAATTAAATATAAACAGAGTTTTTCTGGCTATATCTTAAAATCAAGTAAAAGGTCTGTCCCAAAAAAGGAAAGATATGCCCCTGATGCCAGCTTACAAAAGAATAAAGATTAGTTAGTATTTTATTTTATGTCATGGTATATACTTTAATTTATTTTCCTAACCCTTTCAGCACAAAGATAATCAATTCAGTCGACGCAATGGCAATTTTCACAGTCCTACGCCGCAAAACGAGACGAGATAATGGAAAGGAGGCAGGGTAGTTCCCATAGAACAAACATCTAGAACAAAGATCTGTCATTGTGGGACTCCTCAGAGCGGATTTACGGATTTTGACACATTTCGCATTTTTCCAATCCAAATTGGTGACTGTGCAAATTGATCTCGCCCAAAGTTCAGGGACGCGCTGCCAGCAGATAAGTTAGCGCAGTCTAAATGCGGGTGCACATATACTATATATAGTATAGTGGCTGGGCAGTGTGTATATGGGTGTTATAGATAGACACCCAGATCCAGATATTAGCTTGGCATGGCCTCTGCCTATCTCTTTCTCTTTCTCATTTCTTATTTTTTCCTTTTCGTTGATTAAGTTGTCAGCAATCAGCAAGAGGCTCCGAAACGAGACGGCGTTTAGCGTCGATTACTGTTAGACGACTAAGTGGCCCGATCCCAGATCTGTTGAGCTAACAATTGAGCGGTCTCTTGGGAATTAGCTTGATAAAAAAGGAACCGAAAACAAGCCAAAAGTCAGGCCAAACAAACACGAAAGGGTGCCAGGGAGTTCATGCGGGATCAAAAAAGATAACCCGCAAAACAAAGGGGACCTGAACTCTACCCCACCCATCGCAGTTCTTTTATTCTGGTGCTTTCTTTCACTCTATTATCTTTATTCTTTTCGCTGATCCCCAAAGTTAAGGTCAGGTTTTTGTAACCCAATAAAAAGATTAGGGGGGTTTAATAAGTGCCAAAAATAGACACTCATAGAATTTCAAACTAATCCCAACAAATGGAAAGCTGTTGGCTTTCTTAAGTCATATATTGAATTACTTGCGCGATTCGTTGGACATTTAATATTTTTGCAGCTGGTTCTTAATGGTGGCTTATAATTGAAAAACACAAAGATCATTAAAATGCATGCGATAAAATAAAAGAAGAAATTCTATTTCCTGTTTTACTTCCTCTGACTCTTTTTTCTAGGGATTTCATATCAATGCATTTTATGAATTCCCCATGCAATCAAGTATAAAAACTTTATTGGTACTGTATTTAGAAATACATACAAACCATAGCATGTACATAAGAAAACCATAATTTAAAATATTTGTATGTGTGTTAAAACACGATAAAACTCAAAAATTTTTGGTACAAAATATTTAAAAATTTTATTTTATAAAATACAGCTAAAACTTTGGAAATACCCTTGCAGATTTGGGATTCCATCTCATTATTTAATAAATTCCTCATAGCATCCGGTTCCCAATAAGCAAGCAAATTCATTGGCTATCTGTACTAAACAAAAAACTTCTTTATCACATTTCCTACAATGATTCAAAGGTTCAAAGCATACATTAATAACAAAAAAAAAGTTTGGTAGCTTAAAAAATTATCATGTTATTTAAAAATTTGACATATTTTAATAATGTACAAAATATGTATCACTTTCTTTTTGAAAAACTTCAAGACTTATACAATATTTCTTTAAACAAATCAGTGTAAATCATTTTCTTTGAGGCTTACACTGAGAAACATTTTCTAGTACGCATTATCAAAATATGTTAAATGGGAAATGTAATTAAAATATGTTTAATTTTCCATGCCATTCTTCGATTGACTTATGGAATTGTTTTTAATTCGAATATCTATGATTTTAATCTGAAACTTTTGGCATTTCGGGAATTTGACAAACTGTCACCCATTCCTAAGTTTTTGTTTATATATAGTAAACTCCATTGACCTTCGGCAAAAACAACAACCAGAGTGCATCTCAACAAGTGTTTGCCTTCCTTTTTTTTTTGAAATATTATAATTTTTTTGGCGCATTTGGCGGCATTTTCGGCGTCTGGCATTTATTTGGTTTTCATTCTTTGGCCGACGCCTTTGTTTCGCTGCTACTCTTCGGTTATTTATAAATATAATAATTGCAAAATGAAACGGAAAAGACACGCCGTGTTTTTGGCCCTAGACTTGGACTTGGACTTGTTGCTGCCAACGTATTTTTTATATATATGCATGTATATCTTTTTTATGCTTTTTGTCTGGTCTCTGTGGTGGACAGTTTTTTCAGGTGGGCGAACCTGGTGAGTGCCGGCCCAGCATTAAAAAAAAAAAAAAAAAAAAACATACAACAAAAATGAAACACATTTTGATTTTACGATCCTGATACGCACACGCACCACAACAACAACAACAAAATGGAATAAAAAATTATGTTTTTGTCACCTTTTTTTTTTTAAATTAAATCGTGTGATTTTTCCGAAAACGCGCGCTTTTTTTTGCAGTTCACTTAAAAATTGGCGGAGCTCAGTAAAGATTCTTCGCGTGGGATCTACGAAAATATATATCGCTGCTATATATAAATGTGAAGGAATTCTATAATTTTGAATTATATTTTTAACTCTTTTTTAAGCAATTTTTTAGTCGCGTGTCGCGTCTGCGACGTCGTCTGCGTCTGTTGGTCAACTGAATTAAGAACGGCCGCCGACGATGACGATGACGCCGGCGCTGCGGCAGCGTTTGCGGGGACGTCGGCAGAGCGAGGGCTGGCCATCTGGCTGGTTTCCCGCCCTTTTGGGATTTAAAAAAAAGAAAAAGTTTCCGTTTTTCAACTTTCAGTATCTGAAGTTCTTATAATGTTACTACTGGAATGTTATCTAAGCCTATAAAGGTTCAATCGATGGATGTTAAAAGATAAATGCACTTAGAATGTAATGATTATTTATGATTTTTGAATGTATTATTCAGTTTCTGGGATAGTATAAAATAGGTGGAAAACTTTTTTATAAGTAGAAATTCCTTTTGCATAAATTGTTTTTCTTTTTAAAAATATATGTGTAAAACATGCAAATAGGTTGCAGTTAATGTACACCCTACTAAAATTAAAAACGTTTATATAATTAGTTAATCACTCACACACCATTTCAATAATCATGTTAGTATTAGTATTTTAAAAATCATATTTGTATCCTATTTTCTAAAAGAATAATTCCATGTTCTTAATTTCAATATATTAAGCAAAGTATAAAAATATATGTAGTTTGATTAAATTTTAGGTACACTGCACAAAAAATATGGAATAGTAAAAGTAAATATCCGCATATTGAACACAGAATTATGGAGTACATATTTGAACTAAATACAAAAAAATAATATTCAATTTTAAACAAAATGAATTGCATGATTTATTTTGAAAATTCTTAAATCAACGTAGAAAGTATTAGTGTTGATAGTAATCATCTTTACTTTAAATATTTTAAGTCATTAAAAACTATAATTTCATCTTAAGTTCACATTTTAAAATAGTTAAATTAAATATTATTTTTAAATTAAATATATTAATCTTTAAAGTAAATAAAAGCCGCAATGGATGAAAAAACGTAACAAAAAATATTTCAATTGAATATGAATATGAAATCCTTGAATTTAGTACGTATTTTTTGTGAAAGTATGTAAATATTTATAATACATATATACATTAGGGTGCTTCGATTTGTGTAAGCCCAAAACAAGGGATAAATCGTAGGGGGGAATGTAAACTATGGACAATTCTAAGCAATGTAGCCAAAGAAACTATGTCTTGAAATTCAGGTTTGACCCCTCCCTTACGTTTTGAAGACCTCCAAATCGACCCACCCTAACATACAATATCCCCTAAAAATGATATAGCTTTATTTTCACGCGTCTTTCGCATCTCTGACTGCGACTGCTTTTCGTCTAGCCAAGTGGGCAGCGAAACTGCGTCGCTGCCGCTGCGCAGCTGCTGTTGCTGCTATTGTTTTTTGTTTTTTTGTTGCTGCTATATTTCACTTTTTTTTTTGTTGCTGCCCGCTGCAGTGCAAATTGTTGCTGGCGGTGCGGAAATCACAAAAAATTAGACGACCCCGATGGACGAACAGCTCCCGTGATTGCCATCATTCTGGATGCTAGTTTCGCGGGTTCTGGTTGGTTTTCGGTTTGTTTCTGGCTGGTTTTATTCCCATTCCCGGGGGTCCCGGGGGGCGTGGCCACCACCCACCCGCCGGCGGGCCATTAAGAGCAATTTGTTGACAGTGACACACAAAAATGGACACACAAAGCGACGCGAGGCGACACAACAGGCTCAGCCAAACAAACAAACCGAGACCAAGCCAAACCAATAGAAAAAAATCAGGAAAAAAAAATAGAAATGATAACATGGAGGGAAAATCCGAAAATGTGAGACAATTCAATGACATCATCAAATCACTTTAATTGCAATCGCCTCGAAGGCGGGGGAAATGAGTTAGGACGAAGGATGTTGCTTGGGAATACTATATTTATGCTCTTGGCACCTTTGATTTATTTCCTATTATCGAGCAAGTACCCCCATCTGTTGCTCTTTGATTCTTCAGCTCCTTTTAGTATCTCTCAGATGTCTGCTTCTGAAAATCAATGGATTTGGCAGCTCTTTGTGTTGAAACAGGTGAAGTAAAATAATACTAAGCAAGCCAGCTTTGGAGTACAGTCACGGTTGAAAATATAGCAACGAAAATAATGATTTGGATATTTATTAATAAAAGTAGCAGAAAAAAATGATAAATATTTTAAAAGAACCATCAGTATTTTTTGGAATTCCGATTTTTGTCGAAAATATTAATTTTTTAGAGGTTTTTCAGTCGTAGTTTAGTCAAATTAAGGCGTACAGCTAAAAGACCGAATGTTTTGAGCAGCTTGCTACAAATGCTATCGATCCCCATGACTTTAAGGAACATTTATTTTTTGACCCATTTTCGCATTTTTTAAAAACAATCAAATATTTGTAGGTTTAATTGCCAATGGATTGGAAATTAAACAACGAGCTCAACGAGTTATTACATTCCTGATTCCGATCATTTTTTGCATAGTGGCAGCCAAAACATTGATTTTTAAGGGCGGAAAAACTGTACTCTTAAAGGTATGAGATCTGTCTTCCAAATTGTAAATAAATAAAAAAAACATCATGGTAGCTGGGAGAACAGCTTCTCAATCAGAATCACTATACGTATTAGTATTCAATTGAAAAACGTCGTGTAAGGAGAACAAAATTTTTGTTTTACAAAAAAAAAATAAAAAGTATGGACGGAAAAAAGAACGGAATGGCAACATGTAAACCAATTTACAAGTTCCAGAAAGAAGCGAATATTACAATCAATGGCTACCTCAACTTCCTAAACGATTGCAAAAAAAGATTTTGCGGAATTTCCCCACAGGACTTGATACGTTTTGGAGCTAGAGAATGGAACAACTTGCCCCTCCAAGAAAAGGATCGTTTCAAAAACATGGTAAGTAAGAAATATCTTAATTATGAAAAATAGATAGTACTTATTAACATACAAAAAGCGATTTTGCGGAATTTCCCCACAGGACGTGATACGTTTCGGAGATAGACTCTAACGCACGTATTTTAATAATTGATACATATTTTCAATAATTAAGATATTTTTCACCTGCCATATTCTTAAATTGTTCCTTTTCCTGAAGGGTGAACTTTTTCCATTCTCTAGCAACTAGAGAATGGAAAAAGTTGACTTTTCAGGTGAAGGAACGCTTTTTGAATATGGTAAGTGAAAAATATCTTAATTATGGAAAATATGTAGCAATTATTAACATAGCTAGCTGCTAGAGAATGGAACAAGTTGCCCCTCCAGGAAAAGGAAGACTTCAAAAAGATGGTAAGTAAGAAATATCTTAATTATGAACAATATGTAGCAATTATAAACATACGTGTGCTAGAAACAACCTCAAGTGTTTGGGAGTAAGTTCCATGGGGACAGCCCCGATAAATCTGAGCGGGAGAAACATAGTCCAGTTCGCTCTCCGTATTCCCGTGAGTGGGAGTCCAGGAAAAGAAAGGAAAGGAAGCCTTCCAAATCAGTCAAGAACCAGATCAAGAAAAAAGCCGAACCTCCTTTTTTTCTGCCAAAAAAACAATGGCCAACTTCTTTGGCCAACGCAGGTGGTTTTATAACGTTTATGCGCAGGTTTAAAAGGATGAATAAGGACATGGCTCCCAATGATCTGTTGAAAAAGGCAACTCGTATTTGGCGCCGTCTGCATAGAAGCCAGCGCAAGCCATTGGAGAACCCACTTTGGTAAAGTTATCTCAATTTAAAGCCTTACACAAGCAATACCATTTCTACCATTTCTTTCAGAATTGTGAGGACTGGATAGGAAACACTTTTAAGCTTTAGCCGTAATTCCAAGGAGCCCGAGAGTTCATACAATTTTAAAATAAAAAGAAAGCACAAAAATGAAGCGATTTAAATTAGTTGTTTTTAGGGTTCCCGAGCACTAACTTAATATTTCATTTTGATCTTCATTTGCATTATGGCAGCCAAAACCTAACCAGCCTAATTATTTCTTGCGAAAATGGGATTCAAACTTTAGTCAAAAATGGTCCATATTTTTCGGTTTTTCAGTTGTAGTTTAGCCAACTAAAGGCGTACAGCTAAAAGAACAACTGTTTTGAGCAGCTTGCTAAAAATGCTATCGATCCCTATCACTTTAAGGAACATTTATTTTTTGACCCTTTTTCGCATTTTTTATAAGGGGGTACATCAGTTATTTTTGGAATTCAGATTTTGGTCAAAAATACTCATTTTTTAGTGGTTTTTCAGTCGTAGTTTAGCCAAATCAAGGCGTACAGCTAAAAGACCGACTGTTTTGAGCAGCTTGCGACCTATGCCAACGATTCCAATTACTTTAAGGAGCTATTGACTTGACCGCGAGTGTACCTTGTTTCGATGTTCGTGCTCGCTGAAGTGGTCATCGTTTGGCCATCGTCTCCACACATCCGTTGGCCAGTGTGCGCTGTTTTATTATGTTTTTTATTTCCATGCACTTTTCCGATGTGTGTCTTTGTGGGGGCACGCAGATTTCCGCTGCAGTTTGACATTTGCAGTTGTCTGTCTGTGATAAGCGCTTTGCAGTGGACAAAAGGCAGCGCCAAACGCCGAACGCCAAAGGAGGATGGTGATCATGGAAGCATGTCAATTGCACAAAGATACAGAGATGCTGACTATATTTATTTTTACATGCGCGATGTCGTGCTGCTATAGCGTGCAATTTGCCACAGCAGCTATACTATGTGCTATATAGAAGCTGGATCCAGAGACTAATCAAAAAGGCACCAGACGACAAATGACAAACGAAAAAGAGCGCACGGAAAAACTGAAATGTGTGTCAAGAAATTTCACAAATTATCAGTAGTTGAGAGTGGTTTGGGTATACTTGGAAAAATTAATCTATTCCAGGAAAGGCTTAAAGTTCAAAATGATTATATAATATATCTATATTTCAAGGAAATAATATTGATCTTATAATAACTCAACTTGTTACTAATATTTAAAAATTATATTTGCGCTTGGCCTTTATTTTTAAGATATTTACCGAATTAATGCCAAATAAATTTAACTATTAATTTATATTAAATTTACATGCTACCATAATATTTGTAAGTGCATATTGCACAATAAGGGGGCTTCACTGTACTTGAAAAGCACGCTTGTGGGCGGAGTGGGCGGCATCGCATCGATCCACATGACAATGGGCTAATTACAGGGAATCCATCACGAGGAATCATCCCACTATTTAAACAAAATAAAACTCAACACTTGACCCTGCTTTATCTGGCCTTTTTGGTTTGTTTTTATTTTTCCCAAACCACTCTACATCGATTTGCATACTAAATAACAGCTACTGTAAACACACATTTGCGTAGGCCATTTGTTTAAAAAAGATTGAAAATCTGTAGTCGTGGAGTAAAAATTCATAAAACAAATCATAAATATTTATACAAAAATTATAGTTTTGACATTTGCTTTAGTCTTTTGTTAATATCAACATGGGTAAACCCACTCTTTTACATGAATGTAAAAAATGTAGTTATAAACAATGTTATATAAGATATTTAACAAACAAGAATAACATATATAAAGCTAACGATTAATATTTTGAGTACTTAAAGGTAACAAATTATTAGATTATTAAATTATTATTAATTACTTTATTGCACTAGTACCTTAACATTGAAGATAAGGCTTAAACAATTTAAACTTATGATATATTAAAATATTATAAAGACTTTTATCAATCATTTATAGCAAACTTAGCCTGCGTCTCAAATCTGCATTGATCATATTATCTTCTATACTATTAATATTCAAAATAAAACAGACAATCCCCAGTTATTTAAAAATAGCCCCGATTGGAATGCGGGGGTTTCCTCATATATGCACACATATCATCTCTGCAACTACGATCCCCAGCAAAGCTGCCCATCAATGGTCACAAGCCCAACCCAAATTAAATAAATGGCTTGTTTCTCGTTGGTTTTTTTAGGTGCGAATGCAGAGGGAAAATATACATCCATCACTTGCAATTCTAATTTTTTATTTTTAGTGCGTTGGTTGTTGGCGACGCCGACGCGATGACGTCACAAATTTATTTAACCAGCTAACCTTGGCCCGATCTACCCTCTCACTCGCACTCGACAAGGGGGCGCGGAAATCAAGATTAATTTTTTTTGCATATTCACTGCTTACACTCAAAAAAATATTCAAAATTTGTGCGGTTAAAGATTATGATAATGATTAAGAAAATATGTTAAGTTTTAAGGAATGTTTTCTTCCTAAAAAGAATCATGTTCCCAGAGAAAAATATTCAAGTACACTTTTCTTGAATTGAGAACATTCGTTCTTAAAAAACCGTGTAAGTATCATTTTGGGATCAATGTTCTCAATATTAGAACGAAATGGTGAGAAGAGAAAAGTTTATATAAAACATCAAGATAGATTACCATTAGTACCATTAAAAATGGTCTTTAAAAAAATTCTTCAATTCAGAATTAATAAATGAACTTCAGAGATCAAAATAAAATTAGTATACACCATATATGGAAAACTATCACATGAATTTATGGTGGTCAACTTTGAAAAACCCAGCAAAAGTAGTTCCTTTGATTTTTCCGAGTGCATTTTTGAACTTGTCACTTGTCAGTTGTGGGATTTGTGAATTGGGCAACAACTTGATTGGCACTACCCAATAATTCCCCACCCCCAGGAAAAGAAAATGGAAAATTCGAGATGGGGGCACTTGGCAGGCTCATTAAATGGTCGTGGAAATGTTCTCCTCTGGTACTCCATGTTTTTGTTTTCTTTTTCGGGTTTTTTGATTTTTTTTTTGTGAAGTGTTCCACATTCTGTTGCGCTTTCATGTGGCATGCCACGCCCCCCGCGCCGCCACCGCCGCCCAGAATCATCCTGAAAAACTATTTTCGGTTCGTCTGACACACATCGATGGGCAGGAAAAGCGGAAAAAGCGGAAAAAGTGGGAAATGAGCGGAGTGAGTAATTGTTTACATTGCGCTTCTTGTGAGCTACTTTACGGCCCAGCATGTGACCCCGCCCCCTGGATTTCCACCGATTTCCCGCCTTAAATACAACACAAAAATTTTACTTGTTGGTTTTTCCACGCCCCGCATTTCCTTCATTTTTTTTGATGGATTGTTTTGCGGTCCACTGACATCCACGAAACTTAAAGTTTGAACTAACAGCAACAAAAATATCCAAGGGAAACACTCGTACACACGAAAAAAAAGGGAGGGCACATCTTTGCATGGCATGTAAATGTAAACAATCTTAAAACGTTTCGGTTTTTTGATTACCTTGAATTCTCTCAAACGTTTTGAAGATACTTATGTAAACATTTTGCTTGGGTTACCTTTGAACACATACCAAAATATCAAAAACTTTTGTTTATACTAGTTATATTTAGTTTATGGAACTTCACTTAAGTGAAAACAAAACATAAAAACCTTGAAATTTGTTAATATTATAAAGATTAACTCGGTAATTTCTTAAAAACCAGAAAGAAAAAATATTTTATTTAACTTAGTATTTAAAAATATAAGCTTTGTAGACAAAAAAATTAAAATTAGTATTTAATAATTGATAAAAAAAGAGTTATGGTAAATAAGGTAGAAAACATCATTTGATTCTTTTGACCTTTTCGATCTTCTTTGTAAATTTATCAATATTTTTTTTTCCAGACACTTGGATGGAAATTTTGAAAATATATTTATTTAAACACTTTTCCAACACTTAATTGACCCCAGTTGAACTTACGATTGCAGTGTTGAGAGATTTGTGGCCGAGGCACCTACGCCGCATGCCGTGGAATGCATTTTGCAACTTTCGCCGATTTTATTGTGCTCTTTGTGGGATTAGCACCTCCTCTCTACCTTTTGGATTTTAGATGCCGCCAGCTGGCGATTCAAATCGTTTATGCCGATGCACGCACAGTAAAAAATTTGAAAAAAATTATAAGAACGACACGGTTGGATTTCCTTAAATGAGTTTTAATAGGTGTTTGAGTTGGTTTTCGATTGTGATTTAAGTTATGATGTTGCAGGTTGCAGGTTGCAGATTGCAGGTTGCAGGTTGCTGATTGCTTATTGCCGCGACTGTGGCAGCGACAATTTTGGATGGCGGCGGCGTTCGCGACGTTCAGTTTCCGACTGAATTCTCACTTTCCGCCGGAGATGCCGTCCGGAGATTCTGCGGCAGCGACGCCGGCAGCGGCAGAGCCCGGCCCCATTTCCCATTAACATTAGCATTACCATTACCATTCCATGCCACCTCATAGCTATAGCCGCAGCTATATACAGATCCCAATCCAAATCCACCCACGTGGGCCGGCCAATTGTTGCTGCCGTTAGCATAAACATTCGAGCATCCACATACAGTGCGCGACGGATCTATAAGGCCTACTTAGAGGATATTTAATACACGTTTTGTTTTTTTAAGAAAAATTAGATAGTGATATATTTTTTACTGTTATTATGAATAGTAATACTGCAGTGAGCGCTTAAGTACCAAGATATACATTTATCATTTGTATCATGATTATATTTATATTTTTAATATGGTTCTAAAACTAACATAAATAGATTTAAAACCTATTATATGATGACATTATATAATAAAATAGGTCATTTCTTATAATTTTATTTAACTTTCTTAGTGATTATGGAAATTTTAATCTTACTATGTGTTTAATATTCTAGGTAGTATATTATATTAGAAAATCGTCTGAATTTTCCGAAACACATAAGCCTTTTTTACAACGCTCACCAAAATGTTCAAAAAATCATACCTCTAAGCACCATTTCTTTTTGAAATTATTTTCACTTGTGTTACAATTTCGAACTGCACTGTCCAAACAAGATAAATAACCAAAAAGGAAATGACTGTCGCTGTAGGTGAGCAATGCATGTCATTGTTTTATTTTACCACAGTTAAACGACTCTAAACATCAAAAACGAAAAAGCATCCCAAGACCCACGCGGCGTATGAGCAATTTTATTCAAAGGAAAACAATGAAAAGTAAGGAAAGTGTGGGTTATTCTCAACTGAACAGCCAGGGATTGCAGACAAAATCAGTCCTATAAAATAAAAATCCATAACTAATCCATGATCTTTAATCCGTTCCGGCAGATAGTTCTTCTGATTCCACGAAGAACATGTGTTGTTAGTTTGCGGGAATGTCTGCGGTGGCATGAATCGCATGAATCACAGCCGGATAAAATATATCCCCATTAAACTGGAGGCAGTGGCCAGCGAAAGTGAAATGTTCCGAGATGGATATATAGTCTGAGACATAGATTATGCGGACCGACAAGATACAATGGTGAAAAGTAGAGTTTATGGGCTGGACAGCAAGAAGCGTAGTGGGAATTCTTAATATAAAGGGATAAAGGGGTGCCTAAGCGCATTTAAACACATAAGTATATACTTAAAATCAAATCATAATCTAATATTATTCTGTATTTCTAGGAATTTCTTATATGTATTCCAAAATCATACTTTTAACATTGATCCTTGGTTATACGTATATCCCCATCCCGTTTATCCTCTACTTCTCTGACTTAACGTATAAACAATCCGCCACTTGTTTGTTTACAATCCCCATTCGAAAGGAGGAAAATCCCAAAATCGAAGAACCAAAACTGAAAATTGAAAAACGAATTTCAAGCGCTATGTGAGATATTCCATCTGGCCGTGTAATAAAGATCCGCGGGGTGGCGGGGTTTACCACAAGAAAAAAAAAGAAAATAAACTATGCCGCGCGGAAATGCGAGGGAGAAAAGAGGGAGTATCTTAAATATAAAAGAATACAATAGTGGGGGGATAGCAAAACGAGGCACTTATGTACTTAGAGCGATGTGAGAAGTAATGTCGAGAACTCGCAGAAACAGACACACTCGACCACTTGACATTGATGGGTGAGGATTTTCAGGAGATCCCACAGAGCATTCGATTCGAGTGGTGTCACTGGGCCGCTACAATCAGTCCCTCCTCGGCAAACAGCTCGTAAAAACCCAGAAAAAAGCGATGAAGTGACATCAGCCCTGTGAAATTCTTGCTCGTTTCATGTTCAAATTTCGTTGGCCAAAAGCAAAAGCAGTAACGAATTTTGGCCAATACCAAAATTGTCTCTCAATTAAGTTTCAATTGGCACACAATAAGCCAAAAGCAAAACCAGGGCAAGTCAGTTGATAAGGCGAACTCTGGATGCTCTGCAAGGGATATTATTCTTAATAATATTATAATATAAAACAATAATATGATACACGTATAATGTTGTTAAAAATTAAAGCAAATTGTAACTAAGTATCGAACTTTAAAATGTTTATAACCAAACAGTTAAATAAACTATGAGATAAAAACATGTTGTAACTTATAAAAATATCTAGTTAATTAAAATATTTCTAAAACCAATTCTATAATTTCGTATACTATAATCTATATAAATAATATTTTCTAAAATACATTTCCTATCTTATATTATAATCCAACAACTTTTTGAACTTGGTAAGGGCAGCCAGTGAAACCGAGCAAGGTATCAATTAAAATTGGAGTCGCGTGGCGATTAGCGCCATTATCCGATATCCGCAATCGCAGTGGGCGCAGTCCAAGTTTCCGGTACAGCCCCACATTCCAAACAATTTTTCCTCTTCAACACGGAGCGAAAAAGTAGGTAGATAATAGTGGTAACTAATATACGAACTCCATGGCATTTGTCTTTCCTAAAAGTATTATTCTTCCATTCCTGAAAGCTTACTTATGTTATTAATCTGGGTTATTTTTGTATTTCCTTGTAATATTTTCTTTCAGTGCTGGCTGAGGTCACGTCACCCGTGGATACGGCGTTCATTGGCCTTTTTTTTTGTTGTTTTTGCCGCTGGACTATTTATTGTTGCACTGTTTTCTGGGCCATAAACATTGGACTCTACAAGAACAATAAACAAGAGCATATATGTTCCTGAAAGGAAACGTGGCTACAGAGAGAGAAACCGCACTATCAATTGGGGAATTTTGTTTACTAACACAAAATCTATTTAGTACGAGCTTTTTTCTACTACTTAGATTTATTATTATATTATGAAGTATACCTTCTTTCTAAAACTTTCAACAAGATTAAGTATTTTTAGTTACGCAAAGTTATAAAGCACAGCTTATTTCAAATAATCTAAAACAGGTAATATTTTTTCTGGACAGGTGATACTTTCTGTGTATACTCAATTCAGGTACGGATAGATGGGTGGTTCCTCATCCACCCGCTCCACTGGGCGAACTTGCAACGTCTGCCAGAGACTCCTCTTGTTCGGCACCGGTTTTCCCAGTTTCCCGCGGTTCTTTTGCAGATCACTGTAGGCGGGCGGTGGTGGATTGGAATTCCGGCTGAGAAGGCCTCGATTCCGGCGTAGAATTCTGCGGCCAGGCATCCGGACCGGAGTCAGCCAGCGCAGCTGCTCCAGACGACGCTTGTGGCGCTGCCGGAGAGTCCGGGAGGCACAGTACGGACGGACAGTGATATAAAAGAATATCTCGATCACCGAGAAAATGCTGAAGCCCATGAAGAGACCCAGAAGACCGCCAGTATTAGCTGAAAAAAGGATATTATAAAAGTCTTAGCATTAGTATAATATTTTAATATTTAACTAAAGTTTTTACACAATATCCGAAAATGTTAAATAATATTTCCATGTGTTTAATAAATTGAAAAACATAATCTATAAATTACTTATTTATTAAATCATTATATTAGAAACAAATTATTCCAAAATCCTAATATAGGATATTACTATTACCCATGAAAATATATTCATAAAATATTTAAAAATAGGTTCTCAATCAATATCAAATCCTAAACAATGCACACTTATTTTGTTGAAGCCAACCATAGGACATTTTAAGGAAATATGATCTTAACTTAAAATATCTTTTATTAATATTAGAATCAGTGGCGGATCCAGAAATTGGTTACGGGGGTATATACAACAAATTTATTGAGCAGAAATCAAAAAGTTAGAATACAATACATATTAGATATACCTTTAAAACGTTGGGGTTGATCTATCCCCAATATCCCTTCGTGTCTCCGCACATGATTAGAATTTACTCTGTTTATATATATTACTACAAAAGGTTCGGCTATAATGTAAAATTTACAGGCAAACTTATTATTATTATAAAAACAACTCACACAGAAACTCGGTAAAGCCAAACATTTCCGACTTGGTGGTGCTGCGGAATATATTGCTCATGTAGTAGAAGTGTAGGATAGAAATCTCGCTGGCGTTGCTATAGGGTCCGTGGAATATATAATCGGGTAGATTCTCGCCGGCCTGAAATCGGGGATCCGAGACGATGGAGGCCGTCGAAAGGGTTGCCTTGTAGGTGAGTTCAAAGCAGCCCGGCCAGCAACTTTCGCAGGATAGGTTCGTCAACGAGGACTCGATCTCCGTTTGCACCCGATCCGTGCATTGATTATCGTTGGGTCCACAGACCCTGGCCAAGGGATCGATCCGGGGCAGATAGTAAAGGACGCAGCTGCATTCGCGGAGCAGCAACTTGGCCTCGCACTCCAACTCGCAGTTCTTGCGCGAATATGTCCGGTAGTAGGCCAAATCATTCTCATCGGAGAAGAGGCAGCGACGCACCGATTTCTTGATGGATCGTATCGTGGGCAGGGCATCTTCGTAGACCGGTTCGATGGGGATCCGGGCCTCTCGTCCGGCGGTAACCACAAAGCCATAATTGCTCACCTTCGGCAGTTCGGCAGGATTGTGGACAAGGACCTTAAAATGAAAAGCTTTTTTTAAAATCTAATAGATATTCCTAACCTAAAATCATATTTTGGATTCGTTATAAATTATTGATCTATTTTTAAAAACATTTGTGGTGTTATTTTTTAAGCAAGCACCTTAAAATTCCACATATTCTAATAAAAAATGTAATTCAAATTTGTAACATAAAATCATATTCTCTATTTTAAAGATTTTCGGTATTTTTAAGAACCCAAATATCTATATATATGTATAATATAATATAATATAATGTAAGATAATATAATATAATATAATATAATATAATATAATATAATATAATATAATATAATATAATATAATATAATATAATATAATATAATATAATATAATATAATATAATATAATATAATATAATATAATATAATGTAATATAATATAATATAACATAATATAATATAATATAATATAATATAATATAATATAATAGTAATATAATAATATTGACACCACAGCCTCACCTTGAAGCCCACACTCATGGACTTGGTGCAGTAGTACTCCGCTATGGAGGCGTTTAGCACTACGGTCAGACCCATCCGGATCCCAGTGCCCCCCGAGGTGCGCGGATAGTAGAACTCGGGCAACTTGCGGGCATAGCCCTTCTCCGGGGTCCAGTCGATGGGCTCGTAGCGCGAATTCGGCTGAGCCGGCTCCCACCTCACGTCGTCACTGTAATTCCGAATGAGATACGATGGATCGAGGGCATTGAAGTTGCAGCACAACCCATCGTCCGTCAGGATTGAGGTGAAGAGCAGGGAACACTCCTCCGCCCGCGAACCAAAGCTGCAGTACAGCAGCATCTTCTCGCACGGCTGGGCCACCTCCACCAGGATCGCCTTGAAGTACTTCCAGGTGCCGATGTAGGAGATGGTCGTATCCCCGCCCTGATCGCACAGACCCATCAGCAGGGAGAAATTGGTGCTGGTCCGGGCAATGCGATCCACCTGACTGAGCAGCGCCTGGTTGAGATTACAGATGGTAATCGCCGGAAAGGGCATGTTGCTGGTCAACTTCTGTTTGGCACTGGTCGAAATTATTATGGGCGAAGCACTCCACTTCACGTAAACGTTGGAGATGAAAAACCCGGAAAGGATCACCACCAGCACAAAGGAGATGCCGAAGAAGACCCTAAAAAAAAGAAATAGGAATTGATTTTATTTTATAAGGCTTGAAAAATATTTATACTAAAAATAAGAAAGCTGGTTGCCACCATCAATATATATAAAACTTGTCTTTAAATTTTAAGAATCAATGCAGAGCCCAAAACAGTGAAGATAAGAAGTCCATCATTTTACTACTGATTTTACTCTGATTCCTTCCCAAGTAATCCCAATCAGTTCCAAATAAATATTTCTTCATGACCTACAATAAGATATTACTCGTAAGTAACATTTATATAATAAATGCAGCAAGCCAAAAATGTTTAAAACCTTATATATAGTGACCTGAGAGATCTGTGACATGGTATCATTTGAACGACGATCCCTTGCCTAGCTCAGTCAGACATCGACTTCAGTACGACATAAAACAACAAATTATTTTGGAATACAAAAAGTTCGGAAATTTTCCTACACGAAACAACCATTCAGTAAAATAAGCGCGAGTAAAATTTATAAATTAACGCATATTCAATATGGAAACCGAGATTTATAATATCGCAGGCATGAAAAAACCGCCATCGCCCGAGATGTACAATTTCAAGCCGCTTATAAAGGAACTCGAAGCCATTCCGAAGAGCATCCATGCTAAGGATAAACTCCCTCCGGTGTGTGAATACTGCGGAAGGCCAATGTCCATGTGAAATCCATCTCTTCGTATCGGAAACCATATATATAGAGCGCGTAAAAGTTTTGGACATTTTTTTTTGGCTCTATTGTCGTTTTCAATTTCGTTCAGTCTTTTCAAAATGATATATATTGACCAAAATTAGAAGAACCTGCAGAAGATTCGTAGATGTAAGTTACTAGAAAACCATTAACCGTTCCGGAATGGTGATGCTCTCCTCGGCGATGTACTTCAGGCCATGGAGAGTGCTGTTTTTCAGGTAGTAAACCACACTCCTCTTTATCGCCGCACAGCTGCAGATGGTATTCTCCTCGTTATCCGACTCGGAATCCCTTTTCCACATCGAGGAGCCACTGGGACGCCGCCTGCTGTCCGTCAACTTCTTCATGATGCACTGTATCCCGACTTTGGCGGATCGGCAGTATTTATAGAGGTCTCAATGCCGTACTGCCAACTCCACTTGCATTTCCATTGCAGTCATCAGCTTTAATCATATTGACCCTTGGCAAACAGAGTCGTCCATTTGCTGTGATAACCACCAAATTGATTTTGGCCACCTTCGCAATCCGCAATTTTCGAAAATCAAGCAGATGGCCAGATAATACGAGTGCATGGTTTACACTTAAATGTAAACAAGGATGCACGCACAGTAGTCACTCAAAAAAATTTTAGATGTGAATATAAAATTTAAAACAGTATCTAAAGTATTTATATCATTTAGGTTAGTTTCTTAACTCATATAGAACTTTTCATACAAATAATGTACATTGGGTCTCAAAAAGGTCTTGCATATTTCATTTAAATTTACAATTTGTTTAAAAAAATATAGGAAATGCTATTTAAATATCCCAATAAGTTCTGTGTAGTAATCGCAAATAGAAATAGATAGCTAGTAACTACATCATATGGCAAAAGCTATATTAAACTAAATTGTTCAAGATGATTTATCGCCACCAAATGTTCTAGCAAATATTAACGCATTCATTTCGGAGCTCGCTGGAGCAAAATTTATTTAATGGACATCTTTCGTGTGCCAGTTAAGTACTTCATAAATAATTTCAATCAACTAGGCATTATTGGCCACTCATCCATTAGCATGGTCCGATTTATTGCAAGATATTTTCATTTTCATTGATGGTACGTGCGCATACAAGTATTTCATATAGTTTCAATTTTCATCTTCAAGAAAAATACAAAATATATCTTACAAATAATTAATCTCTTATTTATGTATTTACATAAACCATTTGTATCCTCTTCAAATGTTCATTCATTAAAAAAAAACATTATTCAAATTTCCGATTACATTCATTAAGCAAATCATATATGTGGATTATACGCTAGCATTAAAAATATTACATGTATCGTTTTTTAAAAATAACCGAATAACATTTCATAATCTTCTTCAATGGCTTTCATTCAATCAAACGTTTAGAATTTTAAACTTTTGTAAACATAAAAACTTTAAAATTATCCAACATATTTGTATATTTACATAATACATTTCCATTTTCTTTGAAAAGATAATTCAGGGAAAGAAATTTAATGCAAATTTTAAATTTCAGTAACTCATTCAGAAATATATGCATATGAAAATAACATTTTTTTAACTTTTTATATCACTGCATGTTATATTAAATTTTGTTGCTTAAAAAAACAATTAAATTTCAGTATCTCTTTCAAGTTTAAAAATTCAGAAGTTAAAAATGTTGTATTTTTAATTGATTCTAGTGTTAGGAACCAAAAATCCAGTTTGCCTACATTTGATTATCTCATTTTCAGTTTAAATAAGAAATGATAAATAACACCAACCTTTTCACAGATCTTGGCTAACCCTAAAAATGCAATGTCATGACTAATTAGGATTGAACTGGAAGAAGTCCACGTTGAGATCTAGAATGGCTTCCGCGTTGGGCGTTTCCTTCATGGTTAGGGCCTCCACGGCATTGTCGCTCGCATGATCGTATCCATGATTTACAGTCGGAGGAGCAGCTGCCACCGGCGGCTGCATGAGATCGCTGACATTCCTGAGTAGGCTCTCCTCCGACGGCGGATGAAGTTGCCCGCCCGCGGACAGATTCAGTCGCTGCGCAGCCTCGTCCGTGAGCGGATCGTCCAGCGACATGCTCAACTCGGCGTAGACCACCAGATTACGGGCTCCGCCACCGACGCCACCGGCAACCAGAGCTCCACCCTCTGGCTCCGGCATGGGAGCCTGCGGCGATTCCATGGCAGACATATCCAGTGCATACTGACCCTCGGGTATGCCCAAAACTCGTGCAACCCGAGCATTCACAAAGTGCAGTCCTGAGGTATTCCGTATTAGCCGCTGGCTACGCAGCTGGAGTTGCTCCACAAAGTCATTCAGTTCGTTTAGGAAGAGATCGGAGCGCTGCTCCTCGCTGAGATGCGAATGCCGCTGAAGTTGGGCGGTAAGAAGGCCAAAAAGCGAAGGCGTGGAGGTGGGTGGCGCTCCTGCTGCAGCAGTTGGCGGCTGCTCGCCAAGACGCGGCATGTGCTCCGGGAATTTGACAAAGTGACGCTGCAGTCGGCGACCCAGGAATATCTTCCCACATCCGGGGCAAATGGCATTCTTGGGAACGGCGCGTGGTGTGGGCGTTGGGACAGGTTCTTGGCTGCTGCCGTTTGTCTTCGGCTCGGGCATGGGTGCCCGGTAGTCCTTGTCACGCAAATCTGCAACCAGCATCTCAAACATCTGAGCAGAACTGGGCTCCACAGGGGAGCCACTGATCACAGGAGCTGGCTGTGCCATTGAGCTGCGCACCTGGCGACCGGAACGAGTGCGGTGTGGCTCAGCAGCGGCAGGTTTCTCCTCCGCCGGCGGCTGTTTTTTGGGCGCGGGAGTTGTGGCAATCATTGGGCTGGCTCTCTTCAGGGGTCTTCCCACTTTAGCAGGCGGATTGTGGGCATTTTTTGCCGTGGCCGGACGGATTCCCATGGCAGCGGGATCCGGACAGCGGTAAATGGTCATCTGCTGGGTCACTGCATCTGTGCGAATCACCTGATTGCGCTTTCTGTACAGGATTACTGGGTGAAAAGGTTGTGCTGACGAATTAAGGAATTAAGGAACTCACCGATCGATGACTATGTGATCGTCCTTGGATAGCTTGTGCAGGCTGCAGGCCAACTTGCAGAGCGTGTCCTCTCGCTGCGAATCCTCCCCAGAATCGGGCAATCCCTCAAGGGGCGCGAAGTTTGCTGCAGGATTCCTGGCCGCCTCCTGTCGATCCTCCACAATACCGGTCTTTTCCGGCAGCGGCTGCAGGTCGGCCAGGACCAACGGGTCCTCCAGGAGATGCTTCATTGGCCACTCACGTTTATAGCACCAAATAAACAAAACAATTTGTATTTTGGTGCGTTAATGTGACCGTCGCTCCTAATGGAAAACAAACTATTCCACTAACAGTTATAATTATAAAATACTTTACAAATTTTAGCTAATTATTCATATATGCAAACAAAATAGAGAACTCAAAAAAAGTATTTAGCGTATAGAATTCAATGTACAACCTTTTAAAGAATATAAAAAATTGAACTCCCCTTTTTTCGAATATATCAGTTTTTATTAATTAATTTTAATGAGGTGAACAATTCCCAAAGTTCTGAACTAACACAATTAATTGTTAATTTAGTATACATTAAAAAAATTTATTGATTTGTATTTTAACAAATCCAATCTAGTATTAAATACAAAAGTGCATCGGACTTCCGACCTCGCGACGGTCACACTGAAAAAAATATAAGCAATTCCCCTTTTTCCGGGAAATTTGATTGGACGCGAAGATCCTGGAGAGAAGAGGATGGCCGCGAACACAGGGGTTATCAACGTGCCCTGGCAGAGACTCGGCGACCGGTTCGACCGGCAGTTTCCGTCGATAAGTCGGCCGGAATGCATCGGCGTCTGCACCATCGACGCTCGCCGGGATTATGTGGACGACGCCAGCGGTGCCAGCTACTTGGTGGGGCCACCGTGGCCCCCTTTGCCATTCGATCTGAACGCTGGAATAGCGGATGTAATCCGCAAATCCACGGATTCCGCGACCAAGGATCTGGAATTCGCTCTCATCTACATACAGCACCACAAGAAGCAGCTACTCCGCCCGCAGAAATCCGATCCGGGAAGCTTGGGCCTGGACATTGACTTTGTAACGCTGCGCGGCATTCTGAGGCAGATCATGTGCATGTCCTATGAGCGGTATCGCGAGTTTCGCATCAAGGCCACACTCCTCAACGGCAGCGTCTACATGGCCAAGGAGGCGACGCCGGAGCAGCGGCTGGAGAACGAGAACATGACCGAGGCCCAGAAGGACATGTGCTCCTGGGGCTTCAAGTTCGAGCAGTACGTCACCAGCGCCCAGGCGCAGGGCAAGCCGGTGACCAATGTGCCGGTCAACGAGGCGGAGGAGTTCTTGGGAATGTTCCGTGGAAACCTGGCCGGAATAAGGCTGCTCTACGGCGCCGAAATGGACTGTGTGGACAGCCAGGTGCAAGTGTGAGTATTCCAGGCATGCATTCGCTTATGGGTTGCAATTTAACAACTTCAAATTATCTCATCCCCTTAGAGACTTCAAAGATCCCAAAGTGCTGGACTCACTGACTTTCGTGGAGCTAAAGACCACCGCACACAATATGAACTCCAACCAAAAGCGCAGCTTTGATAACTACAAGTCGGCCAACTGGTGGAGCCAGTCATTCCTGGTGGGCATTAAGACGATCTATGCGGGACTGCGCGACAATAGGGGCATGGCGCAGGAGATCGAGAAGATCGATGTCCGCACGCTGGCCCGCAACAAGCCATGGAACCCATCGGCCATGGCCTGGTTCCTGGAGCAGTTCCTGCGCAAGCTTAAGGAGCTGCTGGTGGCCATTGACGATCCGTTTGCCGTGGTCCAGGTGACTTTCCGGAACAGGCGGGCCAACTACGAAGTGCTGGGCGGGCCGGAACACCAAATCATCCCCGACTGGTATCGCGAAATGCTCAAGGCGGGATGAGCTGCAAAGTAGCCAATCCACCAAATAAGGCATTTATATTAATCACTTAAGTCTCCGAGTAAAATAAGGAAATATGTTTTGGGAAAATTTTCAAACAATTCAAAGTGAAATGAAAGCATTCTTTGATATGAAACTAGACAAGCTTGACGAAAAGTTTAATAAATGTTGAAAGCATTTAAAATTGTTTAAAAAAAATAAAGTCTTTTTAGTAAAAGCCTAATTTATGTTTTCAGATCTTAGATGACAGACAAATTAAATGTGCTAAATAGGCAAATGATTTAACTGCAAAAAATGTATAGCTATTGCATTAAGACTCTAATGATTCTCATACGAATTATATGTACAATTTAACTTAGAGCTAACACTGAATGCACTGATCACTTGAGGTCGTTGGTCTCCAGAAGGGGAACGGCGCTTGGTTCCAGTTTGCCGCTTGTCGGGCCAAAACGACGCCTGTCCGGCGGAGTGCCCGGTGAACTGGAGAACCCGGTCATGCCAAATACGTGGCTGCCGCTGCCGCTGCCGCCCAGGGATTCGCGTTTCTCGATCACACAGTCGAAGAAGCGGGATAGCTTCACGGCATCAGTGGTTCCAGCGGCCAAACTACGGATGTCCCGGCAATTCAGCCAGATCTCCTCCGCGCCACATTTGTCGGCTAAGAGATCAAGGGAGTGAATTTTACATATTCCTAGCAGACAGAGTCATTTATTTGACTCACCTATTCCGCCCGCCTTCTTCACCGACGACTTCGGATGCCGCTTCTCGTCGATGAGGTCCAGCTTGGTGCCCATGACCAGGATGGGCGTTTGCGTTGCCCCCATGAATTCCTCCATGTCGAACCGGATGTGCCCGTCGGCGCCGGAAGAGTTCGAGGAGAAGCTAGTCAACGGGGTGGGTGGCGATGGGGGCAGGGAACTGCCACGCGCCTTGTACGTGTCCTTGCCCTCCTTGTTAACGATCTCGTACAGCCAATCGAGCAGCTGCTCCTGTGATTTTCCATTGGTGAGGTCGTGCACCAGGATGATTCCATGGATGCCCGAGTAGAAGACGCTGCGGGTGTTCTTGTGGCTCAGCGATCCGCCGACATCGAAAAGCTCCACGAAATAGGGGCACTGGCGGGCAGTGCCCTCCTTGAACTCGTGGATCCTCACCTGGATGTTGCAGCCCACCGTCCAGCCAGGTCGGATCAGCGACTCATTGTGGGCGATCAGGTGCGTTAGGCAGGTCTTGCCCACACCTGGTGAGGGAGGAGCCGATTCTCGGCGGGATTAGTGGGCGGAGGATAGTGATCAGAGCCGTTTGTGGTTATTAATTACCCGAATCTCCAACGACAACAATTCGCACTCGATTGTTCATCGCCATTGTGTAGTGTGACCGTGGCTGCTGTTTTCAAATATGCCTCTAGCAAAAATACTAAAATAGCAAGGAGCCAAATAAAATAGTTTAAACATTGCTGATAAACAGCGAGTTAAATTGAATGCAAATTGTGTTCTTATCGACAGTAAATAAAATTTCATTTTTGTTTTTTTCAATTATGTAGTTATTAAATTTTTATTTTTGGTAGCCCATTAAGGGCTCTTAAAAAAACCACCTCCAGAACAACTTAAAAACCTTAGAAAGAAGAACATTTATTAACTAACAACAATATGTATATTTACGCATTTATTAGTTTTAGTTAAGTCGCGCTCAGTATATTTTTGCTGGTCATCTGGTATAAGCAAACCGTCGCTCGACGGTCACACTGGTTAAAAAGCTTAAAAAAAACACTTGGCAAAATTCAGATAATAAACAAAATCAAAAATAGTTGAATTTCGAATAAGATGGAATACGAAAGTGTGCTGATCGTGAAGCCGGAGGTGTTTATCTACAAAATACCGCCCCGTGCGAGCAATCGAGGCTATAGGTGAGTCGACAAATCGGAATGGAAAAACGGTGACTACGTTTTTCGCCCCTTTCTTAAAGTCCAAAAATTGAAAGTTTTTCGTGCATTTCAACGCCCCCACATTGCACACATATATGCACGTACGTAAGTGGGCGTATATATATTTATTTATCATGTGTGTTTGGGGGCTGCAAGAATGCATTAATTATGTTTTTTAGCCAAGGTTAAAGGCACCCCGACTTGTTGTTGTTGTTGTTGTTGTTCCCGTGCCTCTGAAGTTCAATTCCAATTGATTTTTTTCCGTGCAATTATTGTGTTTGAACATTTTCACTTACACGTATCCAAAAAAAAAAAAAAGTAAAGAAAAAAGGGGGAAAATAGAAAAAAGCTCCGCTGGCCTGTGTGTAATTGTTGCTATTGCTGCTCTCTTTGTTTTCCTTTTGTTGCTGTTTATTTCACAGTTAACTGCGCTCAGGTGAGCAAATAACACAAATTAATCGAATACCTCGAGTGTTGGGGGTATTATGGGTATTACCGAAAGAACATATCCCTCAGAAACCCCATTGATTGGTAGACTGGTGAAATAGTCTAAAAGAACCACATTCTACCGGGTTTTCCCAGTATTTATGGCATATATACCAAGTAATAAATAACCATTCATCAATTATCTCTATCTTATGAGATATGGTGATATATTATCGGCTACATGTACGATTCCCATTGCATTTGTCATCTCAGAATCATAATATAAGAACATTTAAAGTCGTCATGATGATTCCACTTGGAGTATTATTATAGGAATCGTGTTAATATTCAATATTCTGAATTGAACAAGTATAACCATTCATAAATTATCTCTATCTTATGAGATATGGTGGTATATATAGCAATTGCACTGCATCTCCATTGCATTTATCATCTCAGAATCATAATATAGAACATTTAAAATCATCATGATGATCCCATTTGTAGTTTTATTATAGGAATCGTGTTTATATTCGGTATTCTAAATAGAACAAGTATCTACTCCTGATAACTGACACCATTCCCAAGATTATTTATACTGTTTATATAGTTTTACTTACAATAGGAACTTGATAATTTGCATAGGAAACAAAAAGATAAAGCAAATGTCGGTCATGTTCTGCAAGATTTTTATATGTAGCTGTGTTATATATGAAAGTCTCTTTATCACAGATTTTACTACTTCCGCAGAAAATGAAAATAAATAAATGCTTAGTTTCTAATAATTGATTTGCCATTGTTCAACCTTCACAGGGCGGCAGACTGGAATCTGAAGGAGCCCACCTGGACGGGCAGGATGCGACTGGTGGCCAAGGGCACCGCCGTCATCCTGAAGCTGGAGGACAAGACCAGTGGCGCCCTGTTCGCCAACTGCCCCATCGACACATATCCCGGCGTGGCCATCGAGGCGGTTTCCGACAGCTCCAGGTACTTTGTCATCCGGGTGCAGGACGATAATGGACGATCGGCGTTCCTCGGCCTCGGATTCGGAGATCGATCCGACTCCTTCGATCTGAATGTGGCGCTGCAGGATCACTTCAAGTGGGTGAAGAACCAGGAGCAAATCGAAAAGGAGAAGACGGAGCCCAAGCAGGAGCTGGATTTGGGGTTCAAGGAGGGCGAGACCATCAAGATCAACATGAGGATAACGGTAGGTTCAGCTACCAGGGATCTAAGAAAAGCATTTAAGTTGAAAGTCATATAAAGTACATTTTATCGGGATATTAACCTCTTACATAGGTAAAATCCTGAACCGATTGAAAACACAATCTAAAAACTCTTTGGGGAATTCTTTGAGATTTCCTGTTTGCAATTTATCAGTCTCATTTACGATGTCATCAGTCTTTTTAAAATGCAATCTTTCATTTTTCACGCCATCTAGATGAAGATGAGCGCATTCCTCTCTTTCTGTTGAATCAGCTTATCTCAACTGCTGAAATTGAATCATTATGTTTATGGTTTATAATCCAAACAAGCTATATAATCATGAACTTCAAAAATTCTTTAATCAACTTTAAATAAATTGTCCCCTTTATTGTTTTAGAAAAAGGACGGCTCCGAGGGATCCTCACGCACTGGCAAGAACAAGGGCTCATCAGGCGTCCTGCCTCCGCCGCCTGGTGGTCTCGGCAAGATCGCTCCACCACCGGCCGCCGCCGCAGTCACGACGGTACGGCAAAGTCCCGGCGTCTCGCCCGCCCACAGACCCGCCGCTGGAGGATCCGAATGGACCGACTATGCATCCGCCGGGTGAGTGCTTGCAGGCGATTATTTACTCCGTGGAAGCATCATATCTCATATGATAACATTGGGCTAAAATGCTGCGTATACCGCAACCGCGAATTCTTTAGACTTTTCATAATAATGCCAATTGTACATACTTAATTATTATATATTTCAAAAACAAATTCATAATAGTAAATTCTCTTTTTTTCAGTGGCAACCAAGGACAACAGAACTCGGCCAATGCCAACTGGGTGCAGTTCTAGATAGACATCGTCCTGTTCCTGCTGCTGCTGCGCCTCTACCCCCCCAGAACTTTATGTTTTAAGACTCTTCAGATGTTTTTTTTATTCACCATTTGCAAGCTTATTATTTTCGTTTTAAATACGACCAAAAGATTGAACAGAACATTCAGCATAGGCGTCACGCGTTAAAGTTAAAGTTTTTTAATTAAATTGAAATTGTGTATTAGTTTCCCCATCCACCACTTGTCCTCTCCTCATCTCCAATTTTGCGTCTCGCTCTAATTGGTGGATAAAGATGAAAGTGGGACAAGTTCTCAGTGGGCGGGGATTTGTAGCAAACTATTTAGCCTGGTTGTTAATTGTATAAATGAAGATAACGATAATTTGTATGGAAATTATTCTAAAATGTAATTTGTTAACGTCGAGATAATGCAAGTAAAAATGCAAATTAAGTTTAAATCAAGTTATACACGAACACGAAACACTGCATAAACTAAACTAAAGTGAAATATTCAAATTTTGAGTACTTACACACGAACATACACGCACGTGAAAGGACATTCCGCAGATGACAGATGGGACGCATTACATACCACTTTAATTTATTGTTAACTCTCCAAATACCCCCTGATCAACTTGTTTCACACCTACCTTAAATGGAATACATGAAGTTATACAGATCTATCAACCTGTTCCCGTTTTCGACTTCGATCAAATCGTGTGAGATCGAAATTGGTTTAATTAAGGATAGAAAACACGAATCGATATGCCATAGATCGTGATTTGTTAGCCGATTTACTATGATTCAACGAACGCCTGTTTCGCTTATGCAATGTATCGAAAGTTCAATTTACAAATTAAAACATGGTAATTTCGATCCCACAAATCTTGAAAGAATAGCAATCGGGAACACGGTAATATATTTTTTTTTCTGTTTAAAAGTGGCACATACATGCATAGCAATTAAGTAAATCAAATGAATTATATATAATATACAATATGAAGAAATATCCATATGTATTTAATAAACCACATAATTGTAGAGAAGGAAATCTTGCTAACTCTGAATTGTTGTTTGAGCCCCGAGAAATTGACCCCCCATCCCCAATCAATATCCTACAACTATGCTAGACGAAACTGCGTTCCGGTCTCTTGTTTCTGTTGCTGTTGAAAGATGATCAAAACTCAGAAAAACTACAAAAAAAAAGCTAGTTCTATTTGTTCCATAAATGTTTATAATAAGAGCTGCATCTGGCACACATTTTCATCGCTTTATCTTTGAAACCCCTATCACATTTCTACTGGAGACAGCGGTTTTCGTAATATTTAATAGATATCTTTCTTTTTTTGGGTAATTTTCATTTATTTTTAATGGATGTATATCACAAACTATATGGTTATTATTTTTTATTTTGGTATAATTGAATTTTATAATCGGAATATCTAATAACCCATCATAAATATCTCAATAAAATCGATTGATTCTAATGAAAAACAGGTGTATCCGGTTGAAAGCTTTAATATTTTCAAAAACTAAACTCTTATACGAAAACTTATTTTTTTAAATATAACATCCTTCGATAGTTGTGAAACATGCTGTTTTCATAGACTTGCGTTTACGGTGGAGAATCCCAGAGCTGCTAGGCATTACTTTTATCGATGTGGCTCGTTTTTTTTCGTTGCTCACTCGAGATAACCTTCGAAACTAACATATTCGCCAGCTTTGAGCAGTCAACAAACGAAACATAATTTACATGAAAATAAAATTATATATACATACATATATATATACACACAAGATATATACAAAGTGTAATTAATATTAATGAAATACGAAATAAAAATAGCAATGAATTTCAATGTGAAATTGCAGGCTATTTATTTCATTGGAAAAACTGGATTGGAAGTTTAAAAACTAAGCTGTATATTATTTTCCTTTCAGTAATGCAATTAGGGATTAAACTGATTTTAAGTATTAAATACAGGCCTCTAAATGAAATTTTCACTCCCCTTGCTAAGTAAAAACCAACATTATTTTAATTTTCTTTGTTTTTTCATACGTTTTTATTTAACTTACAATTTTCGGGTTCCTTGTAGTTTGTTTTGTTCCTTTTTTAATGATGTTCGTTTTTTTTCAATTTTCTTATGGATTTTTTTTTTTTTAATAATTCATTAGGTTTTAGTACATATAATTACAACGCATTATTTTCATAGGACTTCGATTTCCGACTCTCGACTGCCGCTTGACTTCGCGCCGATATACAATTAATTTAGCCAGCATTCTGTTTCTTCTATATGTTGCTTTAGTAATTTTCTGCTTCCGGATTGTTCATTACTCCATATGCCGAACTACGTGGATCAATATTACATCTTCGTATGCTATTCATATACATAGCTACATATAAATAGATGTTGTGTATATGGTATAACCTGGCTAGCTTGAAGTTACAATCACCACAGATTGTTTATCATAGTTTTCGTTTGGGTTTTAGCGACCTCTTAACTTGATCAAACCATTGGCATTGCAGGCTCCACTTCACACGTATATTTCGATCTCCTGAGATCAGTTTTCGGGGAACTATTTATTCAAAACTGGAACCAATCAACAGCAATGGTTTGATCGAAGTTCTTCACTTCCGCTTTATCCACCCTCATTCAGTTATGGAAATACTTTCGTTTTAGATTAGATTTTGCAAGGTGGAATTTAGTTTTCTGTTTCGGGGGGAAGACACCACATAGATATAGCATCTTGAGCTGCGTTAGGATTCGAAAATTGGGTGAAATTAGGCGGGATAGGCGATTTTAAGTAGCATATACAAATAGTATATATACGTAACATTATTTTTCTGTCTCGGTTTTCTTGTGGTGTCTCTTAGTTTTGTTATTTACACAGCTTCATTTGTGGTTTGTATAACGCAAAAAAAGGGGATATACATTTTACAATACCTTTCACTATTACTGCTTCGCTTAATCTTAACTCAGACGCACAGCTGGCATATAACAGATATCGTACTCCTAAACTCTCCACTCCGTTTCGTGCAATGCATGATGACAATGATCAACAGTTTGTGTAATAGTGCCCGATATGCGGCATTATTCGTATTCAACATAAACATCTTCTGCTGTCATTACTATCAGCATGACTTATTCCTTATGTGCTATCAACTAAAACATAACTTAACTAATTTTATGTGTGATTTTTGTGTATTTTACGTACATTTGCTGTATGTAGGTGCAGGGAGTGAGGAAAAAGGGTTTTTTATAAAAAAAAAAATATGGTAGGCCACTAGAAAACCGAAAAACTAAACATAAATTTACATTTTATGTTTCGCAAGCCATTGACATCAATTCGGCCGTTCAAACAATTTCCCCGCGCAGTGTTTCTTTTTCGATTCAAGAAGGTGAAGTGAATTGGTGTTTTGATGACCGGGAGCTTTGCTTTGGGCTGGGTTAGCCATTGGTGTTGGATTACATGAAGCGCTGGCGTTTACTGCTGTAGTGGCAAATATCCATTTTGTCGTCGATGGGACTGCCGGGACGCTTGCAATGGCGCGCTATCTCGTTGGCAACAAATGCAAATAGTTCCGGGCCACTGAAATATTAAGAAAATTAATTAGTAAATTGGACAGCATACACTAATCATAGAAGAAGCAGCAATAAGTCAAATATGATACACACTGCAGAGGGTATTTTAATTTCAGTCAGAAGGTTGCAATGCAGTGAAGGAGACATTTTCTACATTATGAACTATATGTATTATTGATCTGCATGAAAATCCAAGTTAATCTAGTAAACTTACACAAACTATAACTCATGAATGATATCTAAACTGTTGCCAAATTAAGAAGTGGCAGCATAAACACATTGCATTGTGCTTACTTTAAAAAGGAGAAACACGCCCATGTCATTAGCTTGGATCCTGACAAATAGTGAGTTCTTAAGGATCAGACTACTCTTTAGCAAACTAATTAAAAAAAAAAAAGCCTTTAAGCTCATTAATAACCTAAAGGAAATGGGGTTACCATTGGAAATATGTTATAAAGATATTTTAAAACATGACGAAAGCTTGTTTCAGGTAAGTTCTAACACTAATTTTAAAGATAATGTAGCTTGCACTAAATAACCTGCGACATGTTTAGATACACTTTTATTTAAACTTCGCCTTGCCCAAGCTAGCTTTCTTTTTTGTTTCTAATAATATGAAAAGTATTGCAGTTACTTTTTGGTTTTAGTTTTATCCACATGTCTTTACATTTTGGAAAGATCACTAAAACCGGTATTCAATGCAATTGCCAAAAAAGGCAATCTCACGTTTCCTGACTCGACTACGTCAGTTACAGAAAATTCTATCAATATTAACAAGATGACTAATTTTTCAAAGGTTGCCGCAGTAAGGATAAAATGTTTGCTGAACCATTCAACTAACCGTGGACGCAAAACCAAGGCCTCCTTGAAGGTGTGCAAATCATCGCCGATTCCGCCGCCAGGGGCACCGGCCGATCCCTCATGCCGGCCACCGGCTGCTCCGGCGGACAGCAGGTGTCCACCGCCGGCGGCTGTGGGCGGACCACTGGGCAGGCCCAGTCCGGAGCTGTGAAAACCCAGGCCAGAGCCGCCGCTGCCGCTCTGGTGATGGTGCTCCGGTTTCGGCGACCTGCTTGGAACAGAGAAATGAAACTGGCTTTAATCGGGCAAGTTCGAGACAAATTTCAATTACGACTCACCGACGATTGGCATGTGGATTTGAGTTGGATGGCGGTAGGGGCTTTCCGGCCAAATAGGCCAGGAGATCCTCGCGCCGTATCATCCGGCGTTTTTTGCTGCGCGCCCAATCGGCCAATTCGCGAGTGCGTCTTTGGTAGCCACACTGAATGGCAGCGTCGCTGGTGCGTTTGAGACCATCACATGATTCTGGAAGGGATCGGAGGACAGGAATTAGTTATGCAAGATTACTAAGAGTGTACGATTTAAACCCACCTTTGTAGAGTGTTGTCACAGTGCCAGCTGCGGTCTGGAAGGGCAGCCAAAGGGCTCCTGTGTCTGAGGAAAATGTGTTCGATGAGCGCTCTGCAGGAAAAAGAGAATTATCGTTAATATCTATGTAGATAAATGTATGTATTATGTTTTATGCAGCTTAGGGCCACAGTAGCTATAGCTGCAAAAAACATAGGCTATAGGTAATTTTCAATTGCCTTTTAAGTTGAGAAATAAAAGAAATAATATGTTTTATATAAACAAGGCATTTTTAAATGTAAGAATAAATGCATTTTCGGATATTTTACAAAAGTAAGGGTATGAAATAAACTGAGACGGTCTAAAGACCTTGTCCTTATCGTAACAAGTACTGAAACATTAATCTTTCAACAGAATTTTTAGATCGTAAATGAAGATTAAGTATTAAAAATGGTTTTTTTATTAGATCTTCTTAATATATTATTTTCTATTGTGCAATCCTAGATTTATAACATTAGAAAGACGTGGCTTAGAGTCGAAAACTAGGATTTATCTCATTTATGTACAAAGGAATTATCGGAAAACAATAAATAACATTAAAAATCATTTGATTTGAACGCAATATTTGGGTCGTAATTCCAGTATTATAACGATAGAGGTATATTTTGGTAGGAATGTTTATTATATAGGGACACTTGTTTAACTTGCCACAAAGTGGAATGGAAAATGGCCGACTTAGGATCCTTGCAAAAACAATTTCTAGGTGGAATGTGGCCAACAAAAACAAACATGTCCGACTTGTCGATCATTCACTCTCTGCGGTGCTCTCCCATTCTCTCTCTCTCTCTCCTTTCCCCTGCTCCTTGCACACCTGCTGCACGAAAGGATGAAAAAAAGGACGAGGAAGAGGGAGAGAGACAGGGGCCGAGTGGAAGGGAGAGAACGAGAAGAGCTGCTATCGACCCAGAGGAAGAGGAAGAAAGCGGTGCAAGAGGGATGGCAATAGGCTCTAAAAATATGTAATTTGCAATGAAATACAAAAAATACATTGGGCAGCAAAGAGCGAGAGAGATTTAATCTTCCACTTATTTTCCCTTCCTATTTCTCATTTCGCAGGCCGAAAACAATGACGAAAGCAAAACAGCTGTTCGACCCTCACACACACACAAGCACAGGCAGTCAGATGAGTCTGCACGCACGCACATGTTGATTAATGATATCAACAACAACAAAATAGACAGCAGCAGCGGCAACAACAAAAAGGGGATACAAATTCTTTGAGGCGACGCCTCTGCCCTGCTCATCCTCTTTCTCTCCCTATTCCCTTTCCATTGCACTTGCCTCTCGCCATCTCACTTCTTTAGACCTCTCTCTTTTTCTTTTGCTCCCTGTTCTATTGCATCTCCCCCTGCCCCAACCCACTCATAACAACAACAACAACAACCGCAGCACAAACAACAATATAGCCCTTTCTGCATTTTGATAATGCGTAGTATGAGGCGTGAGCGAGAAGGGGAGTTGCATTTTCATGAAAGCCGGGCTGCTGCCTCTTCTTCTTCCTGCTGTTCTATTAATACCTCGCCCAAAACTATTTTTGAAGAGAGACTGCACACACACAAACAAACAACACACAGATAGACAGACAGAATGGAAACACAAAGAACAGAACAGTAACAAAAAAAAAGAAAGAATTTGTTGAACCATGGAAGCCGAAGCCTACGCCCTTGGAAGGGATAACGGGATCTCTAGCCCCCTCCTTACCTCTGTAAAGCTGGGCAACGGCGGTGGCCGAATCCTGGAATGCTCCCCACACGGTGCTCAGATTGTTGTCACGCTGACGCACAAACTCCCGTTCGAACTCGTCGTGCTGGCCGTGGATTTCGCGGTGACACTGCTCCTCCAGCCAGCTCTCCTCTCCGCCCGACTCCGGTTGTTGTTGCATTTCTCTTTGCGTCTCACTCTCTCTCGCTCTCCCTTCGGGTCAGGTCGGGGCGAGTGTGTCCCAAGTTACGGTTCCTTTCCCGTTCCGGCAAAGGCCTGGACTACCGTCTCTTCTTCCGCTGCTCCTTTTCTGCTGCTGCTGCTTGTTCTTCTTCTTCTTCTGGTGGTGCTGCTGCTGCTACGACGACACACGCACACACACACTGGCAAACACGCGAAACGAAACGCACCAACACACTCGCACGCACTTTGGACCAACTCTTGGTTTTGAATTTGGAATTAACCAGGAAATCGGCTGGTAATCCACCGTTTTGACCGTCCTCGCAAGCCGATTGCTCCTCTGGCCGCCCGGTTGTAGATGATTTTAATTTATTTATTGTACGAACGACGAGCGAGCAGCACTTTTATGTTGTAAACCAGCACAAAAAAGAACTCACACTCAGCGATGGCGTTGCCAGATGGGCGAGAACTGTCAAACGAATCCAGTGCCTGGCATTCTAGTTCGATTTTTGGGAACGAGTTCTGAAGCGGCGAACAAGTCACGAATTTTGGGTTCTTGAAAATAAAGATTGAAGCCAGCGGAGTTGTATAAAAATGTAGTATTCAATTGTATGTAGTATATAAATGCTTATCTATTTCCAAACGTTTCATATTCAAAAAGAGTTCCTAAATTTGTTCGTTTTAAAACATTACTATAAATGTAAATAAAGAAGCTCAGTGCTAAAATCCGTCCAAGAGTATCGATTAAATTAATTTATTGTGTCCAAAAATTGTTTAAGACTTAAACTTTAAATGATGGACATGCCTGCTAGTTCGTTTTTAATTTGTGAACCAGTAAAAAATATTCTGGTAAACGTTGCCATTTAATATGCATATGTACATATATATGTACTTATATAACAATAATATTCATAAACTACATTTCATTAACATTATTTTTATTTCAGATTTTTGAGCCATTAAACAAAAAAGGCTGAACCTCTAATATAAATTACTGTATAAAAAAGTCAAAACTAAAGTTTCCTAACTTATTACTTATTAACTCAATTATGTTTTCATACATCGGTGATCTAAGCCATGTTTTTTGTGTCCTTCCAAATGCCATTCGTACTCCAAAAAACTGCGTAAATAGTAACTTTATTACGCACATAAGTAGTTCTAGTTCCGTAGCAACTAGTTCCGGAGCAGCTTACTTTTCGAAATACGTGGCAACGCCGCAACAGTTGTCTGCACGTTTTTAAAAGCCGGCCCAATATTAAACGAATCGTATCCAAAACAAAGCGAAATCAGGATGTTTATGAACTCCAATCTCTTCGAGCCGGGCAAGTCGAAGCCGGAGCGGAATTTTGTCCAGTTGGCGGTGAAGCAGAATCAGCGCTTCGACGGCCGGCGGTCCAACGAGTGCCGCGACGTGGAGCTAACCTTCGGCGCGGATTGGGGCACTGTGGCGGTGTCCCTGGGCGAGACGAAGGTGCTGACCCACGTGACCTGCGACCTGGGCGCACCGACCACATCCCGGCCCAACGAGGGCAAGCTCCAGCTGAACGTGAACCTCGGCGGCGTGGCCTTCCTGGACGAGGTGCAGAGCACACACGACCAAAGGTCCCTCACCCTGAACTCCCTGCTCGAAAGAACCTTCCGCAGTTCCAGGTGCGTCGACCTGGAGTCCCTCTGCGTGGCCGCCGAGCAGCATGTGTGGTGCATCCGCGTGGACATCAATGTGCTCAATCACGACGGGAATCTGTATGGTAAGTGCACCAATCTACCAGGATCCTCGTACTATTCTTAAACTATGGGATATGCGATCTTAACATCTTTATAAATCATCAAATTATAACATAACTTGTAAATAACAATTATTTAAGATAGTTTTAAAAGATAATTGTTATTACTTAACTATTTAAACCACTAAATCCCTACTGTTTTTCGTAGATGCCAGCACCATAGCCACTTTGGCTGCGTTAATGCACTTCCGGCGACCGGATGTCACATTTGCGGACGATGAACTGCGCATCTACACGGAAAAAGAGCGGGAATTCATCCCTCTGCTATTCCTCCACTATCCCGTGAGTGTCACCTATTGCATTTTCAAGAGCAGTGGCCAGCCAATTGTGGATCCACTACTGCTGGAGGAGAACGCCGCCGATTCGGTGATTGTCCTGAGCTTTAATTCGTACCAGGAGCTGTGCACGCTCAATGCCGGAGGCACTGCGCCCACCAATGTTCGGACAATCATGCAATGTGCCCGCAATGCAGCGACTCGCGCCAAGTCTTTGGTGGATTTCATACGCAAAGCTTTGTCGCTGGACGAAGAGCGTCGATTGCAGGGCGGTCGTTTGGTTCAGGGACTGGTGGCTCTCATTGGTGAAAATCAGCAAAAGCTGAGTTTTAGGAAACTGATGGGTCACCAAAAGCATGAGCCCCAGGATCTGCAAAGTGAAAAAATGGATGTGGATACCAAGGCCATTGCAAAGCCAAGGGTTGAGGAGATGGCGGTCGAGGAAGAGTCCTCCAAACAGGAGACAGGTGAGCTAAATTCAACATTATCTAGCGATGGAACAATACAATATTCATGATTGATCTACCCTTTTGTAGACGCCCCCCTGGACTCCAGCAGTTGGCTGCCCCAGGATGAGGACTCCCAGGAACTGCCCACACCCTCAGAGGCATCCGCATCGAAGGCCGGCAAGGGCAAACAAAATCGAAGCAAAAGCAAGGCCAATAAAAAGCAACAAGCAAAGAAACAAAGTACGCCGGCATCCCTAATATATATCAAGTAGAATCCATTTGATTTCACTCCCAAAATCTCTTCCAGATAACAGCGACTCTGAGGAGGAAGCCAAGCCAGTCATCTAGCCGATATGATAGTCAAGTAGTTAAGTGAAAATGCTTTCTATTAAGTTTTATTTAGGCTTAAATGTATGGCTAAAATCAGTCTAGGCTTTAACAGAAATCGTTTAATGCGGAATTCCAATTGATGTATGGAACCGATGTTCGTCTTTGTTAGGCTTAAACTAGAGCGCTAAATATATTTCCAACCCGCCGGGGCAAACGAGACGATGTTTAAGTTTAAATATTGCAAGTTATGTCATTTACTCTCTTACAGCGATATTGTGTTGTTTTCCGTTCTATTTTACTTTTACTGTAGTCTAATTGTGCTTCGATTCATTTAAGGTTTATGGGTGTCTTGTCTTGTTTTGTTTTGTTCACTGTTGTCTAGCCATCCCCACTTAACTTGATTTATAATACAAACGATTAAATGAACAACATTCGCGTCGCCATGTCTTTAAGCCTAAGAGTACGAATTGCTATTTGATTCAGTGTGCTGTGTTTTCCGTTAATTCTCTTGTAAATTTACATAGTTTATTTAATGTAATGTGTGTATAAAGAGCTATTAACAACGGACCAAGGCTACAATTAGTTTTGTAAATTTTTTTGTTTAAGATTAAGTTTACGTTTTATCGCGATATACTATTTTTTGGGAGCACCAGTTGCCTTTTTCCTTACGTTCTTTCATTGCATATTTCCTTTCAATAATAATTGCATGCCGGGGAGCTGGGGAAAGGAGTTCGGGCAGTGGTGGTGTAGGTGTAGGTTCGGGGATACAGGGGGTTACAGATGAGAAGGACATTTCGCTATCAGTATTTTCGTATTTCCTTATTCGGGTGAACAATGCCGACGTTCAGCAAATGCAGCAACAATGTGAGAAGTGTTAGTTGGCGTTTGGCCAGCGTTAGAAGGAGTAGACGTCGTCGGCGTCCTCCTCCTCCCTCCGCCCGCCGACGCGCCTTCAGGTGGTGTCGTTGCCAAGGCCATTCTTCTGGTCCAGCTTATTCGAGCCCATCTTCACCATGTACACGAAGAATGTGATGATCTCCTTCTCCTTGATGGGTATTGTCTTGAAGTGTTTCATAATGGTCTAAACGAAAGAGGGTTAGAGGAGTTTAATTTCTTGAATATATGCTTTTTAATCCTTAATAACTAACTGAAGTTTTGAGGAATTGAAAACTTGTTGGAATTTAAGGAAGTCGTAGGTAAGTGAATGATAGATGCTCATGGCTAAAGTCATTAAACACAAAGGAGGCTGAGAACGTCTTACTAAAGTGATTATAGAATTGAACCAATAGCTACAATCTAGTGTTCCCAGTGATTCTACGTGGTTTCTTTTGAATTAGAGTCACTAAATGGAAAGGAAACCGTTGGCAAAGAATCATTTTTCCTTGTTTTTTCTATGGACTCCAGTGTAAACCAGACTAAAGTCACTAAAAACACTTGGTAAATCAATGAAGGTTGAGGATGCCAGCTAATAACTAGTGTTCCCACAGAATCGACATATTTTCTTGGGACTACAGTCACTAAATGGAAAGGAATTCACTGGAGAAGAATCATTTCCCTTGTTTTTTTTAGGGACCCCAGCTATAATCTAGTGTAAACAAGACTAAAGACAATAAAAACACTTGGTAAATCAATGGAGGTTAAGGACGCCAGCTACTATCTAGTGTTCCCAGGCAATCTACATGGTTTCTTTGGATTGGAAGTCACTGAATAAGAAGGAAATCCCCTGGTTTTTCTACTCACATCCGCCAGCTGCGCCCGCTTCATGCCCTGCCTCGTCTGGACCTTGAAGTGGCGCTTGTAGCGGCGCAGCGTGCTGACGTGCAGCTGGTAGAGATCTGGGAACTCGTGCAGGTCCGTGTCCGTCTCGTTGCTGTCGTCCTCGCTGTCCTTGCGACGCCGCTTGGTGCGCACCGACTGTATGCGCTCCTTGTGGTGGTCGCAGATGTAGATGTGCTGCGCGGCTGGGTCGCTGCTTAGCTTCAGGCGCTTCTGGGCCACCGTCTTCTGAATGCGTTTGGAGTAGCTGGCATAGCCGGCTTGGTTGCGACACCGCTCCATGTCGTCGATCAGGCAGCAGGTTTGATCCGTGTGCCCGCGGCTATCCTCCTCGCCCGTGCTGAATCCGTTGTTCATCCTGTACGATGCCTTGATTCTCTCCCGATTTCCTAGCCAATCCAACACAAACCAATCCTTTCCTGCTTTTTGCTCTGCTGCCTCCTCTGTTTTCTTCTCCGTTTCTCCTCTTCTCTTCTCTGTTTTTCCCTTTGCTTTGCTTGCTGTGCGGACCTATCGATAAGTTGTACCATTTTCTTTTTATTCAAATATACCAAATGGGTGACAAAACGGTCATACTGAATTGTGGGGAGTGTATAGCGGAGACACACACCCGCCATATCGAATGCACCCACCCGACATAGCGAGGGCAACAACCCTCTCGATAACTTCCAAAAGCCGCTCCACCATCTGGCAACACTGCCGGGAAACACTTCAGTTTTCCCCAATTTGGGCTTGCAACTGCCGCCGCCGCCCACCGCCCACCACCCACCGTTCGCCGGGAGCTGCACCACCAAGGAAAACCGCAACCCGTGGCGATGGCCCTGCCCTCGATCTCGACGCTGCTGGGCGTCGCCTTCCTGGCGTATATCGGCCACTCCATCTACCAGATGTCGCAGCTCTTCACCACGCTGCAGTGCAGCGGCGTTCCCTGCTATACGTCCTTCCTGGCGGACCGGCCACGCCTCCAGCTGGCGCTGTTCTCCTCGCTCAGCCGCAACCCCATCGCCTCCGAGGTGCGGGATCTGTACAAGGCCAAGCGGTTCGATTACGATCAGGGCTTCGAGCACGACTTTGAGCTGGATGTGCCGCTAAAGACGCGACGCAACGGCTCTCTGTACTTCCATGTGGTGGTGGCCCTGGAGGGCGAGCCACTGGAATGGCGCAGCCTGCGCCGAGACGGGCCCACCGTCGTCCACACCATGAGTCTCACGGATTACATGGTACCCAGGGCGGAGGCCTTCAATCTGCTGGGGGAATCCGATAAAGGATCCGGCGCTGCTGTTCAGGAGAAGGGAAAAAAGTCCGCCTCCGCCTCCTCCGGACGTCCCAGCACCCATATCCGGTCGAATGTATACGTGACCCTGCTCACAGATCTCTTTTCCGTCTCGCAAGCGGATGTCCCTCCGGAATTGGCGCCTCTGATTCGCGTCAACCGCATGCAACAGATCCTGCCCATCCTGCAGACTGATACGTTCAACACGCGGCTCAAGGATCTGGTGCCCGTCACCCGGAACACCACCGAGTTCACCTTTAGCTTCCACTACAAACCAGTGGGCGTGGGCAAGCTCCGGCTGATGCTGCTCATGGAGCACGCCACCCAGGCCCTGCTCACCATCGGATTCGCCACCAAGGACATCGACGAGGTGAAGGGCATCTTCTCGGACACCAATGTGTACCTGCTGTGCGGCACCATCTTCGTGTCCAGCATCCATGTGAGTAGGAATGGGGGAATCTCTGGGGTAGCAGATAGTAAATTCCAGCTCTAATTTCCTTAAAAGTATGTAACATTCTACCTATAAGTAATCTGTATATATGTACGTTTTTGCCCCACCCGCAGATGCTCTTCGACTTTCTCAGCTTCAAGAACGACGTGGCCTTCTGGCGCAAGAAGCAATCGTACGAGGGCCTCTCCAGCCGCACCACCATGTGGCGGGCCTTCTCGCAGATCGTGATCTTCCTGTATCTGCTGGACGAGAACACCTCGTATCTGGTCCTCGTGCCCGTCGGCCTGGGCACCCTCATCGAGCTGTGGAAGTGCAAGAAGATCCTGCGCCTGGAGCTAAGCTTCAGCGGCCTGATTCGCCGCAAGCTGGAGGAGGTGGACCAGCGGAACGGCAAGCAGCCGGACGGGCAGTTGGCGCAGGAGCAGGAGACCGATCAGTTCGATCGGCAGGGCATGCGGTACCTGAGCTATCTGCTATATCCGCTCTGCCTGGGCGGAGCAGTGTATTCGTTGCTTTACCAGCCACATCGCTCCTGGTACTCCTGGACGCTCAACTCGCTGGTGAATGGGGTCTACGCCTTCGGGTTCCTGTTCATGTTGCCGCAACTGTTCGTCAACTACAAGCTGAAGTCCGTGGCCGCACTGCCTTGGCGCGCATTCATGTACAAGGCATTCAACACTTTCATAGACGACTTCTTCGCCTTCATCATCACCATGCCCACGGCCCATCGGGTGGCCTGTCTGCGCGACGACATTGTGTTCATCATCTACCTGTACCAGCGCTGGCTCTACCCGGTGGACAAGAGTCGCGTGGACACGGGTCTGCCCGTTGGCGAAGCCCCGGACACTGCCAACGCCCCTTCGACCGCCACGGCAGCCAGTCGCAAGAAGCGCAATTGATCCTGCGTCGCCAAGAGAAGCAAAGATTGCACATTCCGACTATAGCTTCCGGTCTAGCCTCAGTTGTAGTCCATTCGTGTTTTGATGTAATCCGACTCCGTCTTTAGTTCTGTAGTGATATTAACCCCATGTTGTAGACTCGGCTATTTAAAACTTGTGTTTAAATGGTTAATTAACGCTAAATATAAATCGAAAGTAGTCATTGTCCCTTAGCAAGCAGTGATCCCAACCGAAAAAGCATTTTATACGATTTTAAAGCAACAAAGAACAGTAGAATGTTGCCGCCAAACTATGGAATCAACTAAAATCGCATACTTTTAAAGTGTAAATTAAGAAATAACGTGTATTTACTTAAATGCTGGCCTATCTCATATATTGTTCGATTGGACAGTCAAACAGCGTCACCATTATAACCAACCAACTTAGATCAAAGTGTATTTTAGAAACAATCAGTTAACAGCAATTCAGAAAAACACATTTAACCAAGATAAAAAGCATTTTGTAAAAGGAATCCAAAAGCATCAAAAGGCTGCATAAATATAGAATCAAATAAAATCACATATTTTAAAAATGCAATTCAACAAATGCCCTGTATTTCTAGGCTGAACCAAGGGAAAAGGCAATAGAATCGACTTTCAAAGATTGGTTTTTATATTTGTATGCCGTTTTATTAGCTTACTGTTAAGTCCAATATTTGTGCTGGATGTGTGTATTTTGAGGCCATCAGGACATGGGATTTCGGTTATGGAACGGGCTGGTTTTCAGCTTGTCGAAAAAAATGGGAAATATTTTAAGCTTAAACTAAACTGGCGAAGGAAATAGAGTTTGCCGTGCCGTGCGGACGGCTTACGGATGCCGGCGATTGGCGTTGATGCCAGGAGTTGACTGCTAGAGGAGAATGGGCGAAGCATTCGCCTAGCCGTTGCGTATGCCCAGCGCCTGCTCCAACTCGGCTCGCTTCTGGTTGACCTTGGTGAAGAAGTAGCGCGAAACGGCCTCGTGCGTCCATGGCTGGTAGTAGAACTCCGCCCGACGCTCCTCCTCCGGATTGCCCACCACATCAGTCATCAGCTGAAAAAGCGAACAAAAAACGTTTAGAATACAGAATGACCCAAGGAAAGCGACACTAACCTTCAAGTCTCTCGTCTGACTGATGATCCAGCGATGGATAAACATTTGCGGATCCTTTGCGAAGCTCAGGAAGAACTCCCTGTTCGTCTTCATCTGGTTAATGGTGTCCACCGTCTCGTGGATCTTCGTGTCCAGCCCCTGGATCTCCTGTTGGCTGGCTGTGCTCATCAGGAAGCTGTTCATCTGGTTCTTGAGCGTGTCATCCACCTCCACATCGATGTCGTAGCAGGCGGTCTGCTTGTTCTCAGCCCCGCTCTCGATGAAATGATTGATCACGATCGGATCGGGCGGATGGAGCAGCGGATTGAGGCGTTGCGGTATCTCGGCGAACTTCATGCGCTGGCAGCTGAATATCTGCTCCAGATACTTGTCGCAATTGATGTACTCCCGCTCGTGGGCATCCTGCAGCTTGTGCGTCTTGATGTACTGCCACAGGGCGGATATGATCACCGGCCTGGTCTGCGTGTGCACGCCCAGCAACCTGGCGAGTCGCGGGTCCAGCTTGAACTGCAGCGGCTGGTAGTCGAGCAGTAGGAGGATGGTGCAGCGCACATTGCGATCGCCCGGCCGCTTCACCTGGAACCCGTCCGTCTCCTGGGTGGTATGGGTGCGGTGCCATTCGACCAGATGGTTGTCCGGCCCGTACAGCTCCTTGTCCAATTCGATAACCAGCGACTTGAAGAACGACGAGAACTTGCGCTTGATCTTCGTGTTGGGATCACCCTTGCCGTCCTCCAGCAGGCGGCCCTCCACCCGCAATTCCCACGAGGCAACGGCTCCCTCTTCACCATCGTTTGTGGGCTCCTTGCTGGGATAGAATGTGTTCGAGATAAAGATGCGCAGCTTTCGCTTCTGCTTCATGGGTCGCTTGAGGGCCTCCTGGATGTCCAGGCGCTTGCGCATGATGGTGGCATCCAGTTTCCGCTCGAACGTCAATAGATCCATATACGCCTGCGACTCGGGCACCAGATCCCGCACCTTCTGCGGCAGAATCTTGTCCGCCAGCTTCTTTTTCTTCTTGGCCGTCACAAAATCACCTTTGCCACCCGCGCCGCCCATGCTGCGGGATTCATTGGATCGCTTGCTTCCTCCGCCGGATCCTACGCCTCCGCCAGCGGCACCTGTGCCCCGCAGGCCACTCTGGAACGCCGGCTGTTGGGCGGCGCGCTGCAGCAGCGATGGCCCCGGAACGCCGGGCACACCGGGAACTCCAGGCACTCCGGCCACGTTCGCTGTGCCCGGAACCGGTTGCGTGGTGTTCGGATGCAATGGAAACCCGCGCGGCTGTTGGGCATGAGATTAGATGATTACAGGGAACCGGGACATCAGGAGTAGCCGTGGAAAACTCACCGGAAAAGTGGCGCCTGGCGGCGGATAGGGACGCATGCCGGGCGCCGGCGGCGGTGGCTGGTACCGCGATTGCACCGGCGCTTGGCCAGGTGCGAAGCGTTGCGACATCTTCACTGGTCGCTCCTTCTGGTTTTCCGCCCGTAATTCGACGCTTTTTGCAGCCGAGGAAAATTTCTGGATTTTTGTCACAATACAACAACGCGTCACACACACAATTTCGCCTGTAAAATGGCGTCAAAACAGGGCTGCACTTGCACTAGAGGTGGTCGGCTGAGCGATAGTTATCGGTACGACTGGCAGGGCTGCATTAACCTTGTTTTCTATTGTTTTTTTTTTAAATAAAACTAGCTTTGCATAAAAAATTAAGAAAAGGTATCTTTAAAAATGATGAGAAGAGTAAGGTTATTCTATATATAAGTTGTTGACCAAATAAAAGGTTGTTACTACAATATAGTCTTAGGATAAATTTGTATACATAGATGTCTTGACAGTTATCGTGGCGCTGTTTTTTATTATTGGCGAAACTATCATAAATCGTATGATTCAATACATTCAAATAAATGAATAACTATGAAGATTAGGCTTGCTTTTTATATATTGAGTGGTGATAATAATTTGCAACACATTTTAACAGCTAAAAAACTAAAACTCAAAACCTGATATTATAATGTACATTGTGCGGTGGAACCGCCGACACCTAAAATGTAAAGTTAAACAAACTATAATAAATAAATTTAAAATGTAATATCGATACAATAAAATCGTAGATAGTTTTAAAAACATCGATATCGTAGCCACCATCGTTGTTTATCCACCTCTAACACTGGCCAAAACACAATTGAATTGTCATTTCGTTTTAAAACCGAGTTTGCCGTTTTTATCCGGAAAAAGAACCAAGAAATGGAGGAGAGTTGGTGGGTGGCCAATCTGAAGGCTCTGGAATCGAAGCCGCAACGCCTCGAGGCGCTGACCAAGATGAACACGGTGATCGGCAAGGAGACGGCCCTTCCGCGCCAAATCATCGGACGACTGCTGTCCGCGGCGGAATTGTATGACTGTGCCAATCTCGCTGTGGGCTCTCCTGCCCCCAAGGATCCCGCCGTGGACGTGGCCCTGGAGCTGCTGGGTCACTGCCTCGACCAGCTGCCGCTGGACACCACCGACGATCAGCTCCCCAGGATGCTGGGTCCGGGCCTAGCCCACCCGAATCCTGCCCTGCGTTCTTTGGTGCTGGCCAGTTTGCTCAAAGAGCTGCGCCGCCAGTTGAATGCCGGTCAGGTGCACACGCTGCCAAACAATGAGCTGCTATTTCTCATTCTGGACGAGCTGAAGCAGCCGGCGACGGAAAGCAGCTCGCTGGCCATTAATATCCTGTCGATTGTGCTCGTCCAGCGACTCGCCGATGCCGGCGTGCAGGCCAAGCTGGTGCAGCTCCTGCAGCAGGATGAGATCGTGCGTTGTCGCGCCTACGAACTGGGCGTGGCTCTGGCCAAGGGCAGTGCCGCCTCCTTAAGCGCCGTCGAGTTTATCTTGGATGCGGCGCTTAGCGAGTTGGACAACGATGATGTGCTGCTGCAGGCCAGTGTGATGGAGATACTAGTGCCACTGGCGGAACAGAATCATGGCCTCTCCTTCATGGAGCGACGTCGCGTTTTCGATGTGATCAGCACTCGGGTGCAGCGCATCGAAGAGAATCCCCTGGACGCTCTGCTCATACCCAGCATCATGAAGTTCTTCGGCAAGATTGCCGCCGTCCAACCGCAAAAGATCATCGCCGGCTATCCGCACATGCTGGCCTGCTTGTTTCAGCAGCTGCAGTCGGAGGATGAAACCATTCTGCCTACAGCCATGGACACGCTGGCCAATTTGGCCAGTACTCCGCAGGGAAAGGTACTGTTGCACCTGCACTTTAACACGGCCGTGGAGGAGTCATTTAAGATGTACGGCTCTTACACCAAGAAGCTATCGGCGCCCATTAAAGAGCGACTCCTGAACTCGCTGGATGTGATTTATGCGGCGGGAGAGACACCGCCTACCAAGGAAATCAAGTAAATTGCGACCCATATTTACCATTTAACCTGCTAGTAACTCCCTTTTTTAACAGTACCATTCTTAAAGCCTGGTACGAGAGCTTCGCTGGGGGCGCACAGGCCAATGTCATCATGGACCTGATAAACACGCCTTTCCCTGACCTCCAGCTGGCTGCCTTGGCACTCCTCAAGACCATCTGCAAGTACGCCTGGGGCATTTTGGCCCTGAAAAACACCGGAGGGGCTGTGGAGTTCCTGCTCTCGCGCCAGAAGGATCTGCACAAGGACGTCAAGTTTCTCAAGTGGGAGATCATGGAGATGCTGGCCGTAAGCGCCGAGTTTTCAGCCACCGAAACTGTGCGTTTCACGGCGTATGTGAACGAGGGACCATATCACATTCAGGCGGACGTAAATATAGCCACCGAACCGCAGGGCAACGCCTAGAGGGCGGTGTGCCAAGCATTAACCGCCTCCGATTTAAATCAAATGTACAGCGACGGGTTCAACTAACATCTGAATATGTATTTATAGAATTACAATAAGATTTAACTATTAGATCACATGTAACAATGCCCCGCGGGGCAGGTCGAATTGATGGGGATGCAACAAATAGTCAGAATATTCTTTGGACAGTTGTAAGAGGATTGCCTTAAAAACGATTGCTATAACATTAACTTTTGTATTTCTGGGGGGAAAAATAAATGATTAATTGAAGAAACTTAGATGTCTTATGCTTGAGTCTAACAGGATTTATATAAGGAACTGCAGGAATAAGAATGCAAACTTATAAAAAAGAAAGAGCTTGCAAAATAATATTAAGTAGGTGTAAAGCAAATAGTTCAAGGCTCCAATTACTTGGAAATGTCCAATTGTTAAGCCACCCACCCCATTTGCCCCTTTTGTTTGTAAGTCTGTTGATCTCGTGCTGCGAACCTGACTGGAATCAGCCCTTACAGATAGCTCATCTGCCGGTGGGACATCCGCTTTCGGCCCGACCCACCGCCCACTCCGCCGCCCAAGTGGGCCAGGCTGACGCTCAATCCGGACTCGTAGGCTGTCTGGGTTTGGGATCGGGTCTCGTTGTTCATCAGCGAGCAGCTGGGCAGGGTGTGACAGTAGCGGCGCAGCTGCTGCTTAAAGGCCGCCGTGGTCAGCGTGTAGAGCACCGGATTGAGGGCAGAGTTCACGGGCAGCACCAGCACCGCCAGCCAGGCATAAAGATCCGGTGAGATTTGGCAGCCTAAGAGGATACAATCGATTTGTAAAAATTACTAGAGACTTGGATATCTACCTACCTGAAAGGGCAGCCACTTTGACCACAATTATGGGCAGCCAGCAGGCGCAATCGGTGGTCACAATGATGGCGAAGCTGCATAAATATGTACAGGTTTTAATTTAAAATCAAATATATTTATATATATATTCTAGATATACTTCAAAGGTGGTATTTTCCAAACTTACCGAGTGGCCACGACATTCTCCCGACCGCTGTGAGTGCTCCGCATTCCACCACCGGAGTCCCTAATCGCCTGCAACATTCTTATGTAGGAGAATAGGATAAAGACCAAAGACAATGTGTTGACCAGGATAAACAGTAGCGCCGAATACTCCCAGCCCTTTAATATAATTTGTAAAATAAACAAATGGAACTGTCCAAAAACAAAGAAAGCTACCTTTGCATAGGGATCATGGATGTGCAGAGATAGGCAGACACCATTGTTGCCATAAAAGTGGGTTCCAAAGTAAGGATTGGGAAGGAGTGGAGCTGCAGCCAATCCAAAACTAATGCCCCACAAGAGCAAAAGACGCAGGACAATCCTACGGAAGCACATTTATAATCAAAGTATTCAAGCAAATACTAAACTAAAAGCAATTTATGTTATTAAAATGAATGACAAATATGATTATATTAGGAACAAAGTCTCGAGGGTAAACACAGTTTCTGGTCTCTGATATTTGAGTGGTCAACAAATCAACAGGCTTGTGAAAAAGTAATTAAAATAATGGGATAAACAAGAATTTTTTTTTCATAGAAAGACAAATCGTTCTTTGAGGGAATCTCACTTTAATTTCATATATAAACATAGTATACATTGTATACCTTAGCACTTACCGAACTTTTTCCGTATCTCGGGGCTTCAGGGGACGTGTCACAGACATCAGACGATCCCAGGTGACCAATGTAAGTAGCAGCGTGGACGACTGGCAACTGAAGGTGCTGAGGAAGCCTAAGATGAAGCGGCGGATACATAACTCACATTAGCATCCCATTAGGGGATGGGTCAGGGCAATCGACGGGAGGATACGAACCTGCAAAGGCACAAACGCCGCTGTGCCGCCAGGCCTCCTCGTATTTGATGTACTCCCCGCGAAAACTAATGTCCGCACAGGCAATCAGCGTCAGGTAAATGCCCATGAGGAAATCGCTGGCGGCCAGGTGGCGAAGGTAGAGCGAGTGCTCCACGTTACTCCGCGACTTGTAGAAGTAGCGCCCGAGCAGGACCAGTAGGTTACCCACCACGGCGATGGAGGCCATAACCCAGACACTGTTTGGGATGAGAAAATGTCATTAATATGATAAAAATGAAGATAAATATTCAGAAAATTGATGGGTTTTCATATTATTAGCTTAAAAATGAGTAGTATTATTATTATATTATTATTTTAATATATTATTATGCTATTATATTAATTTATTATTATATTATTATATTATTATATCATTATAATATTATATTATTATATTATTATATTATTATATTATTATATTATTATATTATTATATTATTATATTATTATATTATTATATTATTATATTATTATATTATTATATTATTATTGAATAATTTTGATGATATATATATAGAATCGAAACTAAACCTAAGCTGATCTTAACTTATTGGATAAGTAGCATAGATGCAAACTCTTTCTTTGATGATAGTATTTTTAATTATTTGTTATTAAAGAACAGTAAAAAATCTTTTTATTCCACTACGAAAATTTAAAACACTTAAAAATGTGTCTAAAAAGTATGCAGCTAAGGAATTACAGTTGTCTTTCGGAACAAATATTTCGCCCTTTCGGATTCAAAATATATTATTGCATACTTTTAGACACCTAAGGTGATTTTAAAACCCTAGTTACTCAGTTTATGTGGTAAATTTACATTTGCATCCTCATTTTTAAGTGTGTAACGCAAAAGGTGGAAGAAAATCACTTGTGACCTTGACTTGGACAATTGTCGTTATGGAGCTACCCATAAATTCGGGCAATTAAAGGAAATTTAAGTCTTGCTGTGTTTGACCTCTGCGTTTGTGGCTTCCACAATTGCCAATTGCTCCGCCCGGGTGTCTCATTATTGCAGTTCTGCTGACCGAGGAGGTGTGGCCAAGGATGCTTGAGTGGAGCGACGAGACGTGGGCCCAAAGCAGAAAGCACAAAGCACGAAGCACAAAGCACAGCGGCACAGCAACATCAGCATTCACAGGAGCAGAAATGGCAAAAGTGAGTGTCGACTCTGATTCAATGACAATTATAGACACTATGCCATGATGCCTTATATGCTTGGTGGTACAGAGACCTGTAATTTATGCAAGTGTTCCGCTTCCCATTCATTGCCAACACTCGAGGTTTGATGATGATTGAGCATCATCAGGCTTGACCAAATGGTGACCCAAGATACAGCCTGGGTAGCTGCCAATTTGGCTAAATGATTATTAAATTAAAATGAGTTTCAGTTCTTCTTGAACGTAATAAAAAGTATCCTATACAGTAGAAGATAATAAAAATGAAAGCAAAACGAAAGGTTTTATGGCAGCTGTACAAGTTGATAAAGGTAGATAATAATCCCTGTTTGGGGTCACCAAAAGTTAAGATTATATGAAATTGTAAATTTTATTTGACTAAAAGCTATAGCATAAGACTCCCTTTAATAAAGCAGCTGATGGCTCTCAGGAAATTCGAGTTTTAGCTTCTCTTGGCCCTAAACAAATCGAGGTTACCCAATCAAACAAGCTGAAGGTTATTACCGGCAACCCCATGCCTGCAGCAACAACGCATTAACGTTGTAAATTTTAGAAAAACATCCCTGGTGCACAGCATCCACTTTCTCCGGAGCAACGGATGGGAGTGCAGTTGTAAACAGAGGCTGGGTCTCCAGGTGGCTAATAAAAGTAGAGAACAGCCTGAGAGCAACGGAATCAAGCCAGCCGGAAAAACGGAAGCCACGCCAACGACTTGAAAACCTAAAGTATTTAATTTTTATGAAAACGTCAACTTAGAATAATGAAATAATGTACTAAGCACAAAAGTAAATTCTCGCTGGCACTGGCATCCTTGCAGCCTCGTATCCTTGGATCCCAGCATCCCTATGTTTGTCTGGCTGTGTGTGTGTTTGTGCTCATGTTGGTAAAACCCCGAGATGAAGATGTGGATGGAGATGAAGATGTGGGACGAAGATGAAGACGGCGGCATGCAGAGCGTGTGTAAAATGTGTAAACGGCAAACAAACAAACAACCGACAAGGAAGGAACGTAATTTTCATTTTCAACAGGAACACATCCTAGACGCCGACGAAGAGGCGATGGCAGCCAGCCAGATAATCACTCAGCAGTCCTGATGACAAGCGACTGCCGGTTGCCAGTTTCCAGTTCCGAGTTCCCTGTTTTCAGTTGCCAGTTCCCAGTTCCCAGTTGTTGATGGGTCTACTTATTTGTCTTGCCAAGTAGCTACTTGGCGAAAATACCAAATACGGCGCAAGCTCAATGTTTAGACAGCGGGTCTAGGAACTTCAAACGGCTCGGTTTTGGGGTGTTGAGCGATTAGCACAAGAAATAGAACTGCGGGGGATTTGGCGCCCAACGTGGGGCCCAGGAGCTATGGAGTTCACCGTAAGTTAAATAATTGATTATGCCAAAAAATCGTGACCCGTAAAATTACTCATTTCCCTGACATATTAATTTTAAAAAAATTATGTCTTGTCCCAGTTTATATATTTATATTCAACTGAGGTGGTACATACCTAAAAGAGTCATATATTGTTCTTTCTAAATTCTGGATCTAGGTCATAACTTAAATAATACACTTATACTATGTTGTGTTATTTTAAGCTAGTCAAATTAAGCAGTATTGAATAAAAGAAAATACCTTGAACCCGATAAATAAGCAAACAAAAGTTAATGGCGCCCAACGTGGGGCCAATAAACTTGTAGCCTCCTGGCATCCCAAACATATCTTTACCCACTACCCATTTAACTTAATCAAAGAACAAATTCCTCAGTTCGCTCCTGTGTTCAGTAATTTTCCTCGTAGGCAGGGCAATGCAGTTCTCGCACTCTAATTGCACCCAAGCTTGGTTGAACTTGCAATTGCACAGACTTCGAGGGCCATAATGACAATGATTTAATTGCAGACTAATGAATCCGATTTACACACAGACCGCAGTGCAAAGCCCTACCAGTTTGCCGGGCTTTTTGCAAGGGCTTTTAGCTTGATTAAATCGAAATCATCTTATGTTCGGGGGCTTAACACTCAGTACTCACCTGCCTCTCAATATCTGATTGTCCAGTAGGTGCAACTTACTGCTGATGCCGTCGCCATGTGGAGAACAGACCCGCACATTCATGGCGGCGCTACACAAATGGAACCACGAGAAGTAACTGCCAGAGACAA